TAACAAGCTATCCAGTTTTGATACAATTCAATAAAACTTAATTGAGTTATACTGACAAATCATTGTTCCCAGATTTGGAAGTAAAATTAATAAATTTCAAAGATTTACTCAACTTTGTTTTTCAGCACTTTTTTGGGATGATGCGAGCGGCTGGGGGGTGTAATAGTCACCCAGAATCAATCCAAGTGGGCCAAATATTCAGACTCATGTCATTATTCTCATTAGTTAAGCCCCCCAGAGGAAGCAATGTAACAGGTGGTGACATGATCCATTCTCTTATCGCTATAGGCGACCTGAAAGAAAAGAAAAAAATGAAATTTGTGTTTGATCTGAACATTGATTCAGATGATCAAGTCAATACGGTTGAAGAGGTTCAAGAAGAATTTGAAAATGTTGAAGAAGCATTTGCATATTTTTGTGGATATATTGCCAAAAAGGCCAAGAACTCCACAAAATGTGGTGAATGTTTAAAAACATTATGTGGAAATGGAAATGAGAAGTTCAACTCATTCATTAAAATGAAAAGTAGAGGATTTCTTACATTTCCATCCAATTTGATGATCTCATTCCTAACTGATGTTGAAAATACAATATCAGGTATATTTCAAAGTGATTTGAAAAAATGTTCACTTTCACTGATTGGTGAGAAACTAGCAGTTTTCAAGCCAAAAGTTCTTTTAGGTTGTATTTTCCATGGAAGTGAGTTCACTAAAAACATCATAGAAATGTATGTCATTTCAAGATTGAGCATATGTTGTTCAGAAGAACAAAAACTAAGAAAAATTGACAACAAATCTAAAAAACTTGCCAAACTGGCTAAATTGAATTGACACCTCATAATCTCATCATGATTGATATGTTTGATATTTTTCCTATGTCAAATGAAACCACCTCCCTTCATTTGGCCTTAATTTATGAGGCGTACTAATTTTAAAATATTTACTACATATTCACAGACTGCATATCTTCACTTTCATTTTGCTATGCAGGAAAGGGAATCTCTATTATGTTCTTGGAATTTTGTGCCTGCTTTGGGTAGAAAAGGTGAGAGATAGGTATTGGCATATCGGAGGTTATATATTTTTTTTATTCTCTTGGAGCGCAAGATAGGGAATCTCTATAATGTTCGAAGAACACCCTGCGTACCTAGGGAGAAGAGGTATTCATTTTTTTGAATTTCTGGAGGTTATAAGTTCTTGGGAATACTTTCATTGGCAAAGAATTCCAAATATTTGCCGTTCTATTTCCAAAGCAATGAAAGTTGCCCATTTTGAGGGGTACCTTGAGGGCCACACTGTAATTATGTTGACAAATCAAAAATATTTCGACCATTTTCAGAATATTTGGGGATTGAATTTCATTGGTTGAACCTTGATAATAGATACAAACAAACAAAATAACAAATGTTATAAATGATAATTGAATTTAGAAAGATGAGGATCACTGATTTTCATGTGGAAACAAAGAAGGGACAGTTCTGAAGAAATTAGGCTCAGGGAGCCCCTCAAAAACTGAAATGGCACGTTGAAAAGTGAAGCACAGCAACTCAATTTGAATTCAAAACAAATAAGGAATTTCCTCCTACTCATTTCTTTATTTCTTGAAATGGAGGCACTAGAATTAGGGAAAATAAAAACTTTTGTAACCCTGATGCATATTTGAAAAATGATCTTTATATTTTTGGATTATTAAACAATATTTTATTAGCGCCTAAAGATCAACTTTCTTCTCATCCACAAAACCTTTTTATTTTATTTTCAGATTCTTATCATGTGTGTTCAATAGATATAATTCAATGTTCGTCATGGCAAGTAGCCAGGAAAGTAGTTGTTTTCTGTTGAATAAACCCATAAAGAGTTGATATATTCATTGCAAAGAGAATGTGAATTCTCAATATATTTCTTTGAAAATATATATATAAATTTTTTTCATCTTCATGATATATCTGAGAATTTTCCTTTTTACCATAGATATTAAAAGCTATCCCACATTTTTTTCTAGAAAAATGACTTAATGGCAAAAATATAATATCCTCAACTCAGTAAAGCACTGAAACTTGAGCTGTAGTGGAGAAATAGATGCCTGAACTCTGATAAAAATTAGTTCCACTAACCCAAAGAATTAAAAGTTTTATTTGATCTGCATCTGGTAATTGCTGCTATAACAGTTTATTTTAATACCTATATAATGTTCTATAGTTCTATAGTTGATCTGATCTAGTTGGAATTTCCTTATTTTCTTTAGTCAGAAAATCAAAAAGAAAGCTGATATCACTGAAAGTGGAATACACACAAAATAGTGGAATATAATCAATGTATAATATTTTTTTGAAAATATGCACAAGCTTCACAAGCATATTGAAAAAATAATGATAATTTCTTTTTGCGGACACCTTGTGTTTTATGATGATAAAAATCGGTAAAGGTACGTTTCAAGTGATCCTGATTCAGAATCCAAGATTATTTTTTGTGAAAAAAGTCCCAAATAGTACTTCCTGAAATTTAGTTCAATAAAATTGGTCACTATGACAATAGTCCAAGAATAAAATCACTGTCTTAGTGGATGGACATTTCAAATACCTATCCAACAAAAAAAAAGAATTTCAAAATCGACAGATTATGATGATTTTACAGGGGTGGTAAGTCCTTATTATGGACACACTGTATAAGAATTGGATTAATTGAGTACCTAACTATGGCTAATTTCTTAATTTATCATTAATTAATGCTATTTGAATTAGAATGTAATTGGTAAGAGTCTTTTTCAAGGCCTTTTTGGACTTCCATTGTCTACAAATGGATACCAAAAATATTTTTAATGAAAAGAAAATGAAATTAGAAACATGAGAGGGGAAGAATAGTTGTAGAACAAGAAAAAATTGAGAAGAAAATTATTTTTCATCCCTCTCCTGCATATTTCTATTTTCACTCCATTCACTTTTCTTCTTATACAATTAGTTTCGATATCATTTTTAAGATAATGGTAGTATGAACCAACTCTCTTCACTCAAGACATTGTCAATTACCTAGGTAGGTTGCAAAAAAATGTATTTGAATATGGATTTGTACAGCTCATCTTTCAACATAGATATCTAGATATTCTGAATAAATGTTTGTTAAAACTACCTATGTCTTTGTTTCTGGGACTGTATCTATTCCTCCTAATTCTGTTTTTATTTTGAGACTCACCACTTAATGGATTATAGTAGGTCTAATACAAGGATTATACAACTACATAATCCTTGGGTCCAACATTGCTAGGTGCCTGGTGGTAAACTTTATCTTGCCTCTGGTTTTCATTATATAGTAGGACAGGTAGGACATTCCTCACCTGACCTGAACCCAAGCCTAAACTCTACTAGGTACCTGTAAATCAGGAATAGTTTTTGGAGTTGATCTTGATAAACATAATTATTATAACAGTGAGTCAAATGTGATTATGATATTGATTTTGCAGACAGATATATGTAGGACATTGGATATTGATTTTTTCTGTTTTGATGAGAAGTAAAATACATCTCTAATCTCAATAACACATGAAGAACAAATAACTAGACATTATAAGATATCATTCAACATTGAAGTACATACTTTTAGAAAGATGCCACTAATTGGTGATTATTTTATAAATAAATACTGTGCTCAACATTTTCATTCAAATTTCAATCTGAAATAGAAGCAAGAAAGCTTTTATTGTAGCCGATTTTAATAAGCTTCACTTCTTTCATGACATGAACCTATTTAAAGCATGAAATCTGATGAATTTCCTCTGAAGAACCAGAACAAAGAATGTATCAACTATTGAAATAGACCAATATCGAAAATCATAATAGACAGATGTACTCACCTTAGAATTTATTCACACCAGTTCACGCTAATATTTCAAATCACTGAAATAATACTGTTGTAGAACAGAGATTTTCTTTTTTCTATGGTGAATTAGGTATTATACACAAAATTTAGACACTATGAAACACATCCCTAACGAAAACTTGACCACAATCTCAAAAATAACCATTTTTTCAGCGTGTTTACAGCTCAAGAATATTTTTGATGACATTATTGACGTTTCGATCCTTTGATCAGAAATCAGTTCACTGTCCTGATCCAAATCATATACGTATCCAAATATTTATCGGTCGGTAATATGTTTCCTGTAAATATGGATTGTAACCAGGATGAGCTTAGCGAGATTTACCCACGTCCAGTTTGTTTATTAAAGGTTTATCAGAGTAGGCGCCATCGAGAAACTTGCAAACGACCTTCAATAGGGAGCGAGCGCACCAGTTCTTACTTCCATCATTATCGCAATAAGGTATACGCAGCAGGACATTGAAATAATTTAAAATGCTGAATTTTGGCTGTCATAAAATTTCAATGACAGTGACAGATATTCGAAATATTTAAAAAAGCGGGTGGGCGACTATGGTGTTTCGTCACATTGTCAGGTGGGCAAACTAAATGAAGCAAAATGTTAAAAACCCCAACGGCTGTCAGTTTTGTGTCCGGACTCTTGTCTAAGGTATATACAGGGACTCTAGATTTTATGACGATAATGAATGACTAGTTGCCGGCTGACGGGCCTGACGGCAGATAACTGCAGATGAACTGATTTTGGTTGTAGAAATAACTTCACTCTATCTGAGACTACGTAGTCTTAGATCATTATCTGTACTCTGTACTTTCCATTACAATCCACTACTTTCTCAACAAATAGGTGAAAATCAAAAGAAGGAAGTGTTCTGTTATTTTTAGATCAGGTTCTATCTGTAATCCGTATATTTCCGTGAAATCGGACATATAGCCATAGCCATTCTTCTACCATTTCTATTGTTATTGATCATTGTTATTGTTGTTTGACCATTAATGTTTTCCATTATAAATTCACTTTGAAAATTGCTACTACTCGGTTTTCTCATGATATTCTAGTTATTCTCAATTCTAATTTATCTGAATCGATTTCATTTCGTGGATATTGTCTTGATCTAAATAACAAATAATATGGGGGCTGTCCTAGGCCTTTGTTCTGCTGCACAGGTAATAAAAATGAAATAGAAACGCCCCAATTTTTTTATGGCATTCATCAGTAATCAGCTCAATATTTTCGAGATCATGATAATGAGTAAGAAAATGATAATGCATATATTTTGTGTTTTTTCCTATCTTTCTAGCTGGCATGTTGCTGTGGCAGCGCTGCTTGTTCCCTATGCTGTTCAGCATGCCCTTCTTGCAGAAATTCCACATCCTCAAGAATTATGTATGCCCTCATGTTACTATTGAGCACTATTGCAGCCTGTATTACACTGTCTCCAGGCTTGCAAGATGCTATGAAGAAGGTAATAACTATATTCTATCAGCATAAACTACAGAGCCCTAACTCCAATTTGTCATTTAGGTACCATTCTGCAAGACCAACAGTACTTCATTTGTGCAAGATACATTACCAAAAATAGACTGTGCTGGTGCTGTTGGATATCTTGCTGTTTACAGAATCTACTTTGTTTTAACATGTTTCTTTGCTCTGATGGCATTGATGATGATTGGTGTTAAAAGCTCAAAAGATCCCAGAGCTGGTATCCAAAATGGGTAAATTTCAACCAAAACTTCCTCAGATTTCAGCTGAACAATGTTTTTTGTAGATTTTGGGGATTGAAGTATCTTCTAGTCATTGGAGGTATCATAGGAGCCTTTTTCATTCCTCAAGGGTCTTTTGGCATCACTTGGATGTACTTTGGGATAATAGGTGGTTTTTGTTTCATTTTAATTCAGCTTATACTTATTGTTGATTTTGCACATTCCTGGGCTGAGGCTTGGGTTGGAAACTATGAAGAGACAGAGTCTAAGGGCTGGTATTTTGCCCTAATTGGTATGACTTTGCTCAATTATGCTTTGAGTATCGCTGGAATTGTACTCCTGTATGTGTACTTTACCAAGGTGAAGCTCAAATGAACTAGGACAATGCTGTGAATTTTCTAATTATTTTCATTTTCAGTCAAGTGGGTGTGATTTGAACAAATTCTTTATTTCTATCAACATGATAATCTGTGTTATTGTGAGTGTCATCTCAGTGCTTCCATCTGTTCAGGACAAGCTGCCGAGGTCAGGCCTGCTGCAGTCTTCTGTGGTCACCTTGTATGTGACTTATCTAACTTGGTCTGCAGTATCAAACTCTGCCAGTAAGTTTGTCTCTTGGAAATGTTACTGTGAATTTATGAAAACTACAGTAATATACTTTTATTTCATTCAAATTTAAATTACCATACTCATAATTCAAACCTATTCACCAAATTATCTTTTTCACACCTACAAACAAAGCAATAAGAAACAGATGAAAAAATAAATATAACTCATCAATATTTCTTGAGAATTGTATCCATTAAAATTGTTTGGTTTTTGTAGAAGAGTGTAATCCTGGTATTTGGGGCATTGTTGGAAACACATCTACCAGCAACAACAGAATTGATATTGTTGGCTTAATCATCTGGATGTGCTGCGTTCTGTATTCCTCACTGAGATCTGCTAGTAATTCTTCTAAAATCACCATGTCTGAAAACATGTTGGCCAAGGATACTGGAGCAGGTAAATATTAATTTTTTATTTTAACTTTCATCATTTTGTTTTTCATACATGTTTGTATGTTTTCCCATGGTTGTATGCACATATTATTCCTATAGACTATAGAGTGAATGAATATGGACTTCACTACTTGGGAAGGTGATATCTTGATATCAAAAAAAGCTATTCAAAATTTGGAAAAAGGGACTTGAATGAGATGATTTTTCTTTCCAGGTGATGGTTTTTCCATTTGATTTTATCAATTCATATACAGGGTACTTATGTGGAGAAAAAATGTTTTTCCTCAAATGATATCAAATATTAAAGAATTATAAGTTCAAGTCGTATTTCCAAAACCATACCCCAAATAAATAATTTGTGTGCGTCACTGGATTCTGTGTAAAATTCTTTATGGAGTGAGATTTTAATTTGACAATATCAGTGAGGAACTGTGGATATAGATAAAGTATAAATTTTCAAAATCGTCCTGTATCTCATAAATGGAAACAGTTATACAAAATCTAATCAGGCCATCTTGAGTTTCACAAAAAAGTGGTACAGAACCACAAAAACCGCAAGGTTCTATTTCCAAAGATAACTGAGATATCAGGCAAAAGCATCGAAAATGGGACACACTGTACAATGTACATATCCTGCTGATTTTTTGATCTTGTGTTGTTATGTTTTTGGTAGTTAGTTCAGCATATTGCATTTTTTTTGAACTGAACAAGATATTAAAAATACCCACTTTTTTAAATTCTCATGTCATGTTCATTGAATGATAAAATGCAATTTTTTCTGTGACGTGAAAAAAGTCTGAAAGTTCACCTCTGTAGACAGCTTATAAAATGTCACTTTTTTCCATCGGGAAAAAGTGAGTACTTTTTTCCCACGGAAAGAGGTGAGTACTTTTTCCCCGGATATATATATCACATATTCCGAAAAATAAGCCAATATCACCGTCCCGGAGAAAGAACTGCAAGTAATTTTATCTTCTATTCAACTTTGCTGATATATAGGTAAATTTCTAAACAACTCCTGAATTAGCAATTTTTTTGAAATCAAATCAAAGAATTAAACTGACAGATGTTTGATAACTTCAAAAGAATGATAAAGCTGCCTGCAACAAAGGTGTCAATCTTGTTAAAACTTCAAATTTCAGGTTGATAATTTTCAGTTTTTCATATAATGTAATATCTTCTCAATATTGATTCGTTTTTTTTTCCTGTCACAGAAAAAAATTGTGTATTATATTATACACGGGAAATATATTAGATTTTATCTCACGGAGTTAAAATCTAGTACTTTTTTCACTTGTATAATTAATAACTATTATTATGCATTATTGTAGCACTATGAATTGATTTTGCTGAATCTTAGTTTCTGCTGTAGCAAATTTTTGCTCTTAGCTTGAGTATGCCAACAGGGTGATTTCAATATTTATTTACATAATACTTACTATTACCCATTTGAAAGCGGTAAATTATCCGATTTTGATGAAAATTTTCTGAGGACATGAAAAATTGTATGTCTGTTTTTTGCCATGAAAATCCCAGAGAATCTTTGTAATGACTTTAGTTCTAAATCTAAATCGAAAGTAGACGTTTGCTCCCCCATTTAAGGCAACAAAGTTGTCAATTCACTCCCACGGGAAGAAAAAAATATCTACTCCCGTGGGAGGTAAAATAAATTAGCTTCAGCATGAATCCATTTCCTCTCATGTGTGTTTAATACCCTCCACTTCGCGTCGTGCATTAAACTTCTCACGTGGGAGGAAATGGACACCTTTCCTCCCTTGATATATGAATAGATATAAATAGGGTGAACCACCTGGGAGTGGGACACTCTTCTCATATTTATGTATACAGTTCTGACAAAGTTTTTTCAACTGAAGCACGAAAAAAAATGAAATTTTGATTTTGTAGTCGGAAGTTCAATCATGAAGGAAAATTACATTTCCAGTTCGAGCTATAGGAACTTCCAACTGCAAAGCTTGAAGTCGATAAAATCAAAGTTTCGAAATTTCCTACTGATATCATATTGTAAATAAATGAAAACACAACAGGAGACAACCGCGTCGTCCATCGTATCATTAATTTTTTTTTCCAAAAGAAAAATCGGAAAATTTAAAAACCGCCCACACCCCCCCAAGAAGGTCTCCACCGGTTCGTTCCTGCTTTTGCTTGCAACAGCATATAGCGATTTACATTGGTAAAACTGGCTCGCACTGAGTGCATATTTTGTATTTTATTTGTAAAACTGGGGTCAGGTTTTGAATTCCATTGGAAAACTGGTTCACATAGTACAATTCTCGAACGAGCTCTAATAGTTTTGAAAATGGCGGAAACATTGGATATGAACAGTTTGAAAACCAAATTGTCGGTGGCAATGTAATCATCATCATCAAATAGTGATGAAAAGTTGGAGGTTTCAGGAAAATAAAGAAGATCACTTCCCAGAATTCATAATGTTGTTGAAAGTATTTTGCAAATTCTATGATGAAGAGGTACTTGTGCCCAAAATTATTTCCATCTACTTTATTTTCAATTGGGGTTAAGAAAGGATTTCAGAATGCAAACAATTTATAAACAAAGACAAACCAACTTATCCGATTCAACCTCCAACAATCATTTTATTACAATATTATTTCCTATTCCACACCACCAGTTCACATTTTGGGAGTTGAAACCAGTGCACCACCAGGTTTTTACTAATGAAAGTCGCTGTTAGTATCGATTTTGTTTGTATGTTTTTTTGTGTTCAAACCATGGCATTATGTAGTGAAATTAGGATTGTGTTTTCGATTTGTGGCCAAAATGATAGCTTTGTGATTGACACCATTTAACATATATTTTTTTCTGTTCAGTACGTGGCTCCGGAACCGACAATTTAGTTGAGAATGAAGGTAGGAGTGGACATCATCAAGTAATGGGTTTGAATGATGAATATAGTAAGTAGTAGATTGACTGTCGCGAGCGTAGCGAGGTTAGGAATTCAGCCAATCTACATTTGCTGCCGTGTGAAACATATAATTTTTTGTCCAAATATTATAAAACCGATGTTGTTTTTTTTATGTGAAAATCCATCATTTTGACAGTGTTTATCTACTGGTGACTACGGTTGTGGTTTATTTACGGATTGCCAGTAATTTCTCAAGTTTTTTGATCGTTTCTTAAATCTGATTAACATGCATGCTCGGCCAGTATTTGATTTTCGATCATGGCACCCAAAAGTCCTTGATTTTTGTGCACATTAAGCACAATCAAAGGATGTAGTGTACTGAAAAAGACAAAAAAAAACGTCATCAGACTGAAAATGTATCGAACATTACTAATTTTTCTGTAACCCACTCAAAAGTCGTCCATTTTAATACCAAAATTAGCTTAGCTCTTAAATTGACGTTTATATTACTGACACAAACATAGGTATGTTGCTTGGCAGTACTTTTAGTTCCTAGGTAATAAAAAGGATGTAAGTACTAGGTCATCAAGAATAAACAACATTGTTACGTTTGGCTATTTAGGTTGGGATGCATACCTGATTTGCTTCCGATTTCGGCAGATTTGGCATCTCATACCCATGCTGGAGATATAAATACATCATGTAGTTGAAGATTCGCATTCTTGCTCGATCTGTAGTTCATTCGGGATCTGATTGATTGGATAACATGTTTTTGAATAATCACGGCTAGCTTCACCTTTTTGTCTCATGCAACGATATTGTTCAACTTCATTTGATTACCCAGCCAAACACAGTGGAATATGGAGAGAAATAAAACACCACTATTATTATTGTTGATATGCTCACTAACCTAAGATTTTCCACTTCTTTTTCCTATACCTGGCACTGGCGCGGTATTTGCTATTATGGCTGACACCTGGTCCAAATGAATTCATCCATTCAACAGAATACTCAAATAGGTCACTCTGTGGTTGTATTTATATTGAAACTACGATTCGAATATCCTTGAAAATTGAATGAACCTGATCTGTTGCATTGCACTGTATCCACGTTTCGGGTAGTATTGAGATCGTGTCTGTAGTCTCTGATGACAAAAATTCACTTGACAATTCCATTTATTTGATCAAATAATGATTCAAGATCAGAACAAAAATGTCAGGCAAATAAAATAAGCCGATTTTGTTTATTTCGATTGATATACAGGGCAGATTGAGTTGAAAAATAAAGAAACTCTCATTTTTTGTTTTGTGCTACTTCCACTTTCCCTGGTGAAAGGTCAATAGATCCTTCTAAAAGTTGGAAAAATCTTGAAAATGTTACAGTCTTTCCAATAATATTGAAAATTGACTGTTTATATAATAATGTATTTGAGCCTGGTATTTCATTAGCTGATATTGAGGTATTTGAAGCCTAATTTTTGTGAATGTTTCCTCTACTTGATGTTTTATATTGAAAAATTCATCATTCAAACCTGTTTTGTTAAATTTTCGTCATATTTTTTCCAAATTTCACCATAATGCCCTGGGCTTCCTTTTCCATAAACTTCTATTATTTTTTCATTTTTCTTTATTTCTTTTTCACTTTCTGCGAAATAAGAAGAACCCTATGCTCCTATCGCAGGTAATGATGGTGGAGAGAGTGGACAAGGCAAGAAAGTATGGGACAATGAAGATGAAACTGTAGCTTACAGCTGGAGCTTTTTCCATGTTATGTTCGCCTTAGCAACTTTGTATGTGATGATGACGTTGACCAATTGGTACAAGTAAGTAGATGATCTATGAATCAGTATTTTATCGACAGAATCTGTTCTTTTACTTGAGAAAAAGACTGTTTTTCATAATATCTTCCTCAGTTCCGTATGAAATCGTTTAAGACGATTTCTCCTACACTTCATAATTGATATTCAGAGTTTTTTTTTCATTCTGCTCAATATCTTTAAAGGAACGTAATCAACGAATCACTCAGCTCATTTTTCTATGTGTAATGACACATTGCAGTGTAAAAATAAGTTATATTTTTAAGTTATATTTTTTACCATTTTAATTTTGGCAATTGATATAGTGTGTTGGGAATTCTAAACTCAGTTTTGAGTAATTCAAAAAGAAGGAAATAATCATTAAAAGGACTGAATATGGTGGTTGAAGAAAAGTTATTAAATTATTTGGAAAGGGATTTTCATAATCATATTTTTTATTATTCTTGACATTAAAAAAATCTACAAGTTTGTTACTTTATTAAAAATCATTGAATGGATTTGAAACATTAACACATACTTCTGTATCTGAAAACGATCTAAAAAAGGGGAACAAAAGGTGCATTCATATGTATCCATCACAAAATCTGATCACAAAAATAATCTACTTACAAAATATCCATGTAGAGAGTAGTTAGTCAATCCTATTTTCACCAATACACAATGATTATTTATTGTTCATTACCTTTACCATAATCATTAAGTGAAACATCTCTATATGAATGAAATTTACAGCACATTCAAAGAATAAAATGTTACAACAGTTAGTACAACAGTATAAAACTGCTGTGTATAAATATTATTGGATCTGTTTTATTTTCAGTCCCAATTCGAATTTGGACGATTTCAGTTACAATGCTGGTTCCATGTGGATCAAGGTGATTTCTAGTTGGTTAGCCTTGACTTTGTATGGCTGGACCCTACTGGCTCCTATCATATTGGCAGACCGGGAATTCAACTAATTTTTTCATTCTCATTCAGAATTTGGACACTAAAAAAATTTTTCAAGTCTATGTTGTCCATTTCTAAAGACTTGAAGTTTTTTCCTCAACTGATTTTCCTAAATGAACAATTTAGTTTTTTATATTATTTAAATTCGAGTGTTTCAAACATATTCGAAACTCAACACCATTATCGTTCTATTTATTCGACATAACAACGTTGAAACTCGTCGACTAGTTTTTTTATCATTTGAAACTGGGAAAATTAAATAATGTTGAGGATTAATTGAAGCTTATTTAGTGTCTCCTTATTCTTCATTCTACTACAATATATATATATATATAGAGAAGAGAATAGTGGACAAAACCCTCATAAAAAGATAACCGTAGACACGTGTTTCGGGCTTTCGGCCCTCATCAGTACGGTGAAAAAGTGTGAAAGATAGGCAACACTTGGTGGAATATGAAACAACAAAATAACTGTTTTCTGAAGTTGACTAAAAATAATATTAATAATTTTAGCTTTAAGAAATGTGTTGTGATAGAAAAGATGCTTTGTAATTGTATATTTATATAATCTTTGGTCAATACAATTTCAATTCTTCAGTGTACCTAGGTATCACTTCTGATAATAAATAGTTTGTTACATCAAGTGTATCAAAATGTGTTTCAATTCACTCATGAACACAGTCAGTATGATCTCAATAAATTCGTAACACATGTTCATCGAGAAAAAAATGAATATATACTCCGTTATCGAAGACTGCATTCATATTTTTTTATCTTTATTTGTACAACTATCAGTATAACTTTTAAAGAAAATAAAGTATATATTATATTAATCAAAGGAGATAATGCATCTGATAAAGATGCGGTTTATTAATGCATGAAATGAAAATCAACATCACAAAAATATAAAATCTTGCTTTTCAGGTTAGGAAGGAAAAACTGAACCAACTATTGACATTATAACTCATAGTATATTTTTGACTTCTTCCCATTGCTTCATATGTTTACCACAGAATTCATAATAAATATATAAACATAACTGAATGTCAAGTACATTTCAACCACCAATGGTCGTGTTGTCCTGCTCAAGGCATTTCTTTTCAATTGAGATTATTTTTACAAGTGGGCGTATTGAAAGGAATGGATATAAACAAACGTGTGGAGAGGAGTGTCTTCAGGATCTCTTAACCTACCAAAAATGTTTATGCTTTCTTTCCGCCCACTTTGACCACGCCTTCATATCTTGCCACAAAACTTACTAAAATCATGAACATTACTGATTGTCAAGTACCTGCGTATCAATCTCAATGGTGCAAGCATTTTTTTCACAAGTGGGCGTGTTGCTAAAGGCGTGGCTACGAACGAAGTTTTGGAGGGGAGTGTCTCCATGAACTATAAATCTACCAAAACTGTGTGTGATGCCCTGCTCTTATCGCTATAAACGTTTATACATATACTTTTCGAAGCGTGAGAGGTCAGGAAGTATGAACACCAATATTTCATGTCATAACTCAAGTTATATTTGGTTTTCTCCCATTCCTCCCATCTTTTTTCTGCAAGATTTACAATAAATAAATGGTAATACACATATCTGAATGTCAGGTACATAATAACTGTATAGTCCTGCTAAGATATTTTTGCATTTGAAAATATCCTCACTCTAAAACGTCACATATCACGTAGTGCAAGTGGGCGTGACTAACTGACCGAGCTCATCTAAACCACGCATTCTCATCACCACAAACGACGAATTCACAAATTGTCCGTGCTCTGCAACTTTTGGCACTCGTGAAAATGGTTCAAATTCCTCACTGAAAACTCCGACAGGGCCAATATCGACTCCGGCCTGTACTTCGAACTGTTCCTCGAGCTGCTCCTCATCATGGGACACTCCACCGATACCACCGTCGTCATACTGGTCATCGTCGACCCTCGGTGGTTGATCGCTCCGCCCACTTTGACCACGCCCTCCATGCACGTCCGCTTGTACTGCGGGCCCGTGCCGTAGGGCAGCGGCTTGCCACCTATAGCGCCCTTGTGGCGCTCCGCCCTGTCCTTGCACAGCCCGTAGCGGCCCATCAGGATGAAGAAGTCCCTGCGGTACTGCTGCGTCAGTAGGGCGTAGAGGCAGGGGTTGGCGCACGAGTTGAGGGGGTAGAAGAAGACGAGCAGGATCTTGGTGTGGGTGACGGTGATGAGGGGGTGGCCCAGAAGGGCGGTGAGGCCGAAGAAGGCGATGGGCGCCCAGCAGGCGAAGTCGGTGAAGACCAGGAGGGCCATTCGCTTGGCCACGGTGAGGTCGCTGCGCACCGAGGTGGTGGAGCCGGTGCGGCCACCTGTTGGAATGTGTCAGTTGTCAATTGGTCGATGCTCAAGGGTGAACAATGCTCGTTTCTCAGGAAGAATAAGTCTTGCTAGGGTAGAGAGACAGTGCAAACTCATCTATACCATGTAACCACAAAGAACAGTGAGTTTGAACGCTTTAGTCTGCTGGGACACTGTACTCTATGTATTACTTTTGTGGGCTTTTTAATTATGGAAGAATCAATCGATATTTCTAACTACCTAGCAAACATTAATACATATAGGGCATCACATTTAGGGCATTATTCTCACTACAGTGAACTATCATGGGCTTAATATTGGCCTTTATCGATGTCGACTGACTGACTTAGTACGCCAATATTGGCAGTACTTCCATTTATTGCTTATTCATTGTTGGACCAGTGATGACATTCTCCGTGCATTCCCAATGGAAATTAAGTGGTTATGTAGAAGAGATATTGTTTTACTAATATTACTAATGATAATGAATTATAATTACTACTACAATAAAACTCCTCTAAAAATTCCCGGCCTACGTCAACGATTTGATGTATTTGCCTACCTTTTGCAAGCAATATCGAGAATATATCTCTACAGGGGTAGCTGAAACCACCCTCAACATGATTTTTTGAAACCTAACCGTATGGCTTGTTACCCCTCATTGGAAAGCTCGTAGAAAGAGGAATCCAGCGTCCTAGTCGAATTTTATTCTTCCATACGTTCAAAGGTTGCATAAAATTGAAATGTAATTTTAAAATCCAATATATTTTCAACGTATCAATCGCTCAAAATGTGTTTTGATGTCAATTTTTTGCCAGAACAAGAAATTTTATTGTTTTGCCGTATTTCACAGTTCGAAACGAAGTGTTATTGCAAACTGGTGGAAATGCCATTGTCACAAAAGTCGAAGTTTTGACGAAAATACGTAGAAAATATATTAAACTTCGAAATTATATTTCGATTTTATGCGATCCCCAAACCAACACTGCAAGCTGAAATATGATCAGTACGTTGGATTCGTCTTTCAACCAGCTTTCCAATCAGGGGTCGCAAGCCATATGGGGTTGCATTTCCATTTCTGTTGGTGTTAATTATGCAGCTATTCTTTTATTTTCATATTCTAGACTGCTTTCGATTAATTCATCCATATTTTCTCTTAGGCAATTAAATGGCAAATAGCTTTCAAATCCAATATTTAGTTTTTAGTTTTTTGGGGTTATGCTTTCCCAGACAGCACCAGATATTCCATGAATCTCCCTATCATATTCCTTTTGGAATATTGGAATATTCTAGAAATGATCTGGAATATTCCGGAATATCTGTGGAATATTCTCTAAATATGCGAATGGGAATTCCTCAGATAATCATAGAATATACCCAAAAGAATATTCTATGTTGAATGTTCCTGGAATATTCCAATGAACATATTCTGAAATAAAAAAAGTGACCCAAGTAGGGATCGAACTCGTGACCTCAAGACTATCAGAGCAACGCCTTGACCACTAGGCCAGTAATCGAATTGAATAATGTTATACAAATCAAGTTCTTGTGAGAGCATTGTCCGAAATCGGATCATAAACACTTTTTGTTTCAAAATTCCCTTACATCAAATTGATGTTTTATACTCACATCTCTGAAATAATAAATGGTATTTATGTGTTGAGAAACATAAGAATATTCATGGGATATTTCATGAATATACACCGCAGAATATTCAGTTGAGAATATTTCATGAATATACCGCACAGAATATTCAGTTGGGTATATTTCATGAATATACCGCACAGAATATTCAGTTGGGTATATTTCATGAATATACAACAGAGAATATTCAGTTGGGAATATTCCTGGAAGATTCATACCTGAATATTCCCTGAACATGTCCGACTATTCACGTTGGAATATTCCTTTAAGATGTTCCAGAAGCATGTATATATTCTAGGAATAATCGATGAATATTCGGAATATATTCCTCCTTTTTAGCATATTTAGAGAATATTCTATGAATATCCAGTGCTGTCTGGGTTAGCTTTTATTTGGGAAGCCACCAAAATCGTCCATTATCTCTGTACATCGGTGGAATGGTTTGCAATTTTAGTTGACACAACAATAATGAATGAAGGAGTGCGGTTACGTCAAACGACTGGAATCCATCAAAGAATATATGAACACAGTTGGTGGAATGATGGTGCCATCGGTGAATAAAAGAACGTCCCTTTTTAGTCCTGAGTGTTAGGTTAGCCAAGCAGCTAACGTTTTCAATAAGTAGATATAACAACGACTATATTAGAAACACCCTGTGTAACCAGAATCTGTAGATCTTACCCTCTCTTATCGACTTGTACATGCTACCATAGCACACGCATATCAGCGCGAACGCGATGGCATTGAAAGCCAACAGCGTCGACAGGTAGATGGCGTCAGCTTTCCCCTTGTTCTCCAGCGGCAAGCAAATGCTGGTCTTCGAGTAGTTGCTCACTCCGACGAGCGGCAACACCGCCATCAATAGGGCGCAGGTCCAGCCGGCCAGCATCACTCTGACGGCGTTGCGCAGTTTGAGCCGCTTGTTGAGATGGATGGCCCACGTGATCGTGTACCAGCGTTCTGTCGTTATGACAGCTAGGGTGTAAACGGAGAGGATGTTGCCGAATATCGTGAGGAAGCCGGCAACCCTGCAACCGTTGCCTGGAATGAAGAAATGAAAATATGTTGATATGTTAGTCTGGCTCGCCAAGGAAATCCGAGGACGCAAAGGGAAGAGCAGCAGCTTGTTGAATACGGTTATGGAACATATTTCGTCCTCAAACCAATCGACAAATTGCATTTCATAGCGTTATTGTACAGACCAAAATATTTGATTATCTGCCATTTTTATAGAATTTTGTTTGATTTTATTGTCTTCTTTAATTTGCTTTTTTAATAAATAAGCCTAGATTTTATCATTCATTGATCTTTTAATTTTTCCTTCCCCTGAAATATATTTCTGGATACACCACTGATGGTGATTGATCATTCGTTGACTGCAAAATGAATATATGCATAGGTATTTTTTATGTATAGGTATTTGAAATATCAAACAGTATACATTTTGAAAACTTCCTTCCAGCATTAATCTATGCTTCCAGTAAATAATATGAAAAATCGCAAAGACAGGTCGATTTTATATTCAAGAGAGGACACTTGAAATGAATATTTTCAGCTCTCTTTCATTGAATTTCTTTCAGTGAATTTCAAGTGGGAAGGGGTAAATGGCACATCACTTTGAAGAGCGCTCAATTCTATTTTCAGTGAAAGGTACCATTGTTTATCATTTTCTGTTGAACAGTGTCTCGGAGTTTCAAAATTCCAATTTTAAAATTCCGTGTTATAACTCGGAATTTCACATCCAATATTTCGAGTTATAACTCAAAATTTTAAATTCCGACATATCTTGAAGGACTCCTCTATAAACTATGTAGAAACCCTTATTAAGGAACCATCAGGAGAAGATATGGCACAATATAATATCATTAATAATACCAATAATTTTTTATCCGGAAACATTGAAGAAGTTATTGATATTTCCGGTGCTATTGACCTCACAGAAATGCTCAGATTCGACTGTTAATCTTTAATCAATAGTTTCTAAAAATCTAGGCACACCTATAAACTTGGTATCGTCCAAATATTTTTTACAAAAATGTATCTACTTTTATTTCGTTTTTTTTTGTTTTGTACATTACACAATTCATGTAGCGTTTCAACTTCGGAAAACCCAGTATAAGTAGGTGCTTATTTTCAATAACTGAATTAGGTGAAGATGCGACAAAAACATATTTCCTTTCGTTTGGCAGTTCAGAGCCGTCTTACTATCTAAATTTTAATCAGATTAGCTTGTTTTTTCTGTTCACGAAAAATTTGGAACGAAGGCCTAATATTTTCTCTCGATAAGTTTGCGTTAGGTTATCGTTATCTTCGGTTTATATATCCTCCAGGTATCTGGCTGGAGACAACCTTTCAAATGTATTTTAGGTCAAATAAGGGAAATTGACTACGAAAACACTCTCTCCTGCCAGAAAAATATCTCCAGCACGATAAAGAAAAGGTCTTGACGCCAAACGCCAGAACCATTTGATATCTAATACATTTTCGGGATAAAACGATAATTCTGAAAGGGAGGTGAATATTCTCTGTTCAACATATCTCATAATTTGATGAACCACCTCTCACCATTTTGAAATGTTCAGATGTTTATGTACCTACGGATTGTTGGTCAACGCTTTTGCCGATTTGAATTAGAATTATAGAATAGAATAGTTATATTATTCAACGAGCGCATAATGATGGCTATTACCCACGAAGATGAAAGTTGCAGTTCGAGCCGAAGGCGATTGCTGTAATCATCTGAGTGGGTAATATAGTCATTATGTGCGAGTAAAATACTATACTTTATCTACAACTATTCAAATATCAATGCAACTCTGAGAGTTCAGAAATAGATCTTTGCAGAATCACTAAATCTGATTTGAAATTCTCATTAATTTAATCGAAAACTTATTGACAGAAATTTCAATCAACGAACAGCTTATAAACTTATTTCAATAATCTTGATTGTGAAATAATATATGATAAACAATGTTGGATCTAATTTTTATCAACAGAAAAAAAAGTCGTGCAATCACATATCATCAGCCAATCTTACCAGGTATCATATGCCATTCCACTTTTCAGCTGTAAAATGAATCATACTATTGCAGATTATTCATTAAATTACTTCCGCTGTACCATTCCGCGATGATTAATTACCCTGTCTCTAGACGCTAGTTATCAACAATAAAGTTCCATGGTTCTGATTGGTATATGTACTAATCTATCCGAATAGCCCGCACATGAGTGTGAGCCAATCTGCAAACAAGTCTTATTTTATGGTTATTCTGGTTACTCATGATGGTAGTCACTGTTGAGAATGAAAAACTGTGAATTCTCATTTTTCCCCAGCGTACATAGTATGTACGCTGTTTTCCCTGTATTTGTAGAATTGAGGTGATTAAAACTATGAGAACCATCTTAGGTGAGTCTTTCGAATTTGCGTGTATTTCACAAACAGTCGTATAAGTGGTCTGCTTTAGTAGTACTATAGAACGAATATACCTATACCTAGTTGAATTTGACAAGACGATGGGATGTCAGATTATTACGCCATCCTACTGTCATTATTACTCTTATTACTCGATTCATGACAATAATATGTCTGATTGTGTGTCATTAAATGTTGAAAATCGAGCTAGCAATGCATGAATATATGACTCCATATTGTCTCGCGTTTGATTGCTATAGTCTCGGCTTAGGCCTAGGCTATCAATTCGCGGACTCGACTTTAATAGACAGTGTTTCGTCGTTGGTACATACATAACTATTAATTAGAAACAAATGAAATATTTACCTTCTTGCCAGTCGATAGCGGAATTGAAGTATGCCCCTATCGAGCATGCGTCGACAGCTGCTATCAGCAGCAAATGGACGCCTATGCACAAATCGGCGATGGCCAGATTGCACATCAAAAATTTGGAGACAGTCAACCGGAAGTGCGAGGTGGAGATGACAATGACGACGAATAGGTTTCCGATGACGGCTGACAGCGAAATGAACCAGACAGGGATGCGCAGGGCCCAGTTGCCCATGAGGTCTTCGCAAGGGTTGAAGGCGTCTGGAGATGGATGGCACTTGATCTGAAACGTCAATTTGCATTGATTTGAAGAGATTAGTTTACGAGTTATTTTAGAAAATCTGTGGAATCTGTCACCCCTGAAGTGAGCGGGACTCAATTTTATGAAATTTCAATGTGATGCGAACTGAGATAAGGGGACTTCTTTAGATTTTTCTAATCTGATCCAGTAATATCAAAAACATTTTATTACCTATGCTTATGTCAGATCAAAACTGGAATATGCATCTTGAATTTGGAATCCATCTCATCAGCTGTATATTGAAGAGAGTTGAATCAATACAACGTCCCCTAAAACTTCTTCCCTATAGATCCGATATATAATTTATATCCACCAATCGGTGATTGTCAATCCACAGTGTTCCTTTTCAATGTGATCAATAACATTTTCATATATTTTGCTGCTTATAGTTTAGTTTCACGGTGGTTAGACAAACTTCTAGAATAGTCAATACATTATATCTTCCGACACCAAGAACAAATATTTTGAAATGCCTATTCTCCTCTCCATAATATGATATGTTCTATATACAACAATCCATCCAATAATCAGATAGATATCTTCCATTGTTGTATCTCTGCGATTGAATCTCAGCTAAGTTGTTGCCACGTTGTTGCCTAAGTTTCTATAATTCTCAATCAAACCATAAAAATCTGTATTAGTAAGGAGTTAGTAAGTAAATACTTAAATGAATAAATGAATGAATAACCCTTCAAATTTCTATATAGATTGTCTGTGTAAGCTGTTCACATTTCATCATTTTCTTCGCACCTTCCGTCTCCGGCGCTGTTTGCACCTTCTGTCAGATCTCATTTTGAACACTTCTCACAAAATGGATAACTTTCCTTTATTGGTCCTTCGTAGGCTTCTAACTCAATTTAATGAAAAGCCGTATTTTTATCGAGGGTTGATGTTGATGCTTGACAAAATTGGTCTCAAATTATGTTAACACAAAGTAAGCTAAAGGATATTTCTATATGAGAATGAATTTATGAAGGTGTATATTTCTATAGCTCATGAATATTCTTGAGTTGTGTTCCATATCCCACAGATATTGCCAATATTTGCCTTATAAATGAAAAATGGGAAAATTCTCTTCGTGTCGAACTATACAATGGATTTACATAAGCACAGACTTGTAATATGAATAATATGAGTGTCCCAGAGCCCAGAGGAAGGACTCACTTCCTTAGTTTTTTCTCATCCATTTATACAAACAGAATTGATATTTCTGATGAGTCACTAGACTGCTTACAATCATATATATGGATACGTCTTAATGCATTCAAAATAATTAAAGGATGTCCTTGTAATTCCTGGGAAACTGCCTCTGTTGTTGCACGAAGTTCTTCAAGATTGTTGTGCCCCTTATATATTAAGACGTGTTGAGAAAAGTGTGTGAGGAAAAATGAACATCAATTTGAAACCCTCAGAAGTATTCGAGAGTCTTGTGCGAGCAAGGAATGACGGGGGCCTTACCTTTTAACGTGTGATCATCCCAAACACTTTCTTGGGCCATCAGAAAAATTGCAGTCGATGGGAATCGAACCCACGACCGGTAAGCGAATGCCGATTAGAATATTGACACTGTCCGCACGGCTACCTTCTACATTATAAACTTTTTACTACCATTCATTTGTTGCTATCATGTACCTACTTGAGTGTTGTATTTTGTTAGTTAATTATTATTGGTAATGTTTTTGTCCTCATCATGGAAAAGTCGAAGGAAATATTGCTTCAATTGGAATGCAATATAAAAAGGATCTTCTGATGAAACAATTCTATACTTCTTAAATACGTCTATGGCTGGAGGTCTCTTATACGTCCTACAGTAGACGTATTCAAGACGTCATTACCTGTGGAAATTCATTAGAGACGATTCAAATCCAGTGCTCCCACCAAGAATAACTATTCTTTTTATATTATCAAAATTTAATATATTGGCTCTTTCACCAAAATTTTGAGTTAACTGTTAATATTTTCCTGGACTATGATAAGATATCTTCAGGACGTCTTTTCTGGACGTCTCTGAGACGTCCTAAGATAAACGTATCTAAGACGTCCATTTTACGCCTGTGGACGTTCAGGCATTATATGGACATAAAATGGACGCCTTTAAGATGTGCTGTGTGGTCACCAACTTCAAATTTTCAAAATGAGACGACGATATCAGCAAATACTTTTTCCACACCCATGTGAACAATGATGCAAATTGATGACTCATGGCTCATCGTTCTTCCATCCATTCGACATATACTTTTTTGGGCTCATTTCTTTAAATTCAACCCCCCTCCATGGTTTGGTTTTCGTAGGCTTTATTACTGACTCCATACGTCATCTTAGGAGTATTCCTGTTAATTGAATGCTACTAGGAATCGTACGGATCAAATTTCTATCGAGGTAACGACACTCAAAAATGCTATCTGGAATTCACCCTCCCAGCAAACACTTATTATGTCTGCCATAAGTCGAATGGAGCTTATCAGGGTTCCGAGAAAAACATCAACATGCAACATATCTGCTACAAAGCTATTAGATTTCATGCAATATATTTTCTTGTTTAGGTGGTTATATACAACATTGTCTAAATAATCAATCTAGAAGTGATTTCAACGCTCTATATAATACACTGATAGTTTCGTAATGTGAACAATTTTGCATCTTCATTAATAACATAAAGTTATCGATATGGCTGCAGACACTTTCTATTTTCCTGTATATTTCTCTGAATGGCAAAGTATGTTATTTTGGAATCATCTCACATATTACTTCGTAACATTCATTCAAGTATCATACTAGGAACAAACTCATTACTCATAACGTATCTGATACGTGTACAGGGTGATTCACCATAAGTATCCCCCCCTCTAGCTCAGTTATTTTTTAACCGATTTCAAAATTTGAAATATCATCTCAAATGATTTTCGATAAAGTTTTTTTCTGTCACATCAGAAGATACATTGTGCTCGGAACAAACGATCTACAGGGTACTATTTGATTTTTTTAAATGGAACACCCTAAGTTTCATTGTATTTTTAGATTCTCCATAAAGAGCTGATTTGATCGATGTATCACACTCGGGGTCAAGCGGGAATGATTACAGAGATATAGGGTGTTCAAAATTGAGATTTTTCAACTTTAGGATTTTTTTGTGACGAAACTATTCATTATCGGTCGAAACGGCTTCCATGTCCGTACCACAACTTTTGATTTACTATCTACTGACATTTAATAATTGGAACAGATACAGGGTGATCAGAATTCTGAATCTTGAACCACCCTGTAAATGTTCCAATTGAATGTCACTAGATAGTAAATCAAAAGTTGAGATAGGGACATGAAAACCGTTTTGACCAATAATGACTTGTTTCGACAGAAAAAAATCCTAAAGTTTGAAAAATCTAGATTCTGAACACCCTATATCTCTGTAAACATTCCCGCTAGACTCCAAGTGTGATGTATTGATGAAATCAGCTCTTCAGGAAGAATCTAAAAATACAAAGAAATACAGGGTGTTCCATTTGAAAAAATCAAGTAGTACTCTGTAGATCGTTAGTTCCGAGCACCCTGTATTTTCTGATGCAACGGAAAAAATTCTGAAAAATCATTTCAGATTATTTTCAAAATTTTTAAATCGGTTCAAAAATGAGTGAGTTAGAGGGGGGGACATTTATGGTGAATCACCCTGTACGCAATATAACCTCAATAAAGCTCGATGCATTATGTCCGATATATGTTTGTGAAGGATATATTCAGGAAGCGGAAATTTGACTATACCTGCAAGATTCATTAACTATACAATTGATATGTCTGCAACATCAGATAAGAACAGAAGTATGTGGTTGATATGTATCAGACTCGTATATGTATATTAGTGTTTGCTGGGCTTATATTTTGAGAATGTTGATTTTTTATACTGACCTCGTGATAATTTCGATAAATTTCCCCACAAACGGCTGTAGTGACCGAGACTCCGGCGGTGTCATTCGAGTCGTGAATAACCTCGCTAACATCGCCCCAAAATTCTTCTGTCTGTTCTTCGGTGTTCACACTCATGTTGGATTCATTGTTGGGGTACATCCATTCCGTCGACGCCTTCATTATCATTCCTCCTTTGTGGACCTGTAATCAGAGGTCTCCAGTTCACAGGAAACTCTAGAAATCGAATTGTATATTATAATTTCAAAGGTGTTGATGGAGGTTACATATCGCCGATGGTTCTAGGATGTTTCAGATTACGTGTCTGGTTGAACTTTTCGATATCTTTCGACTATGTGCCAGTGATAGAATTACAACATTGCAAAAATGTGTATGACACATGTATAAATAATCGATTATGATTATGTTAAACTATACAGTGTCATTCATAAAGTCGGCATCATATGAGAAAAACTTTTATTTATGACTTATTTCGAAATTCGAGTTGGACGTTAAGTTTTGCTTCAAAGGAGATGAAAAATGGCCTACTCAATCGGGGTCACGTGACTTTCGCTACATGTCAAAAGTGACATTTTTTCAAATTAATCGCTGAAAGTAGGCTTTTTTGTTCGAATATTGAAAAAGTTCATTTGAAAAAGTTGTTTCTATTCAAATTTTACATATGTGACTCGGATTTTATCTCTCTATTACATTTTTTTGATTTCGATATTTTTTTAAAATTTTCGAAATTTCTGTAATATTAGAAAAATTGTAAATTCGATAAAACTACTTCATACCAGTAGTTTCATCATGCTACTAACTTTCAATTACTAATTATCACTAATTATCGACAAAAATATGATTTTCTTCAGAAAATGATAATCTCCGCTTCAAAATTCTGTTATGTTTGATGCAAACATAACATCAAAATTCTGTTATGTTTGAGTCAAGCATTTAGAAACGAAATTCATTCAAATTCATTTTTTCAGTACTGGAAAGATCAGTTCAAATGAATTTCGTTTCTGAATGCTTGACGATATATCAACTTTGCATCAAACATAACAGAATTTGTAAGCGCGTATTATAATTTTCTGAAGAGAATCATATTTCTGTCCATAATCAGTGATAATAAGTACCTAATTGAAAGTAAGTAGCATGGAAAAGCTACTGGTATGAAGTTGTTTCGTGGAATTACCAATAACAGAAATTTTGAAAAATTTAAAACAAAAATTCAAAATCTAAAAGTTGCAATAGAAAGATCAAATTCGAGGAGCATGTGTAAAATTGGAATAGAAACAACTTTTTCGAGTGAACTTTTTCGATGTTCGAACAAATAAGCCTACTTTCAGCGATTAATTTGAAAAAATGTCACTTTTGACATGTAGCGAAAGTCACGTGACCCCGATTGAGTAGGCCATTTTCCATCTTTTTTGAAGCAAAACTTAACGTCCACCTCGAATTCCAAAATAAGTCATTAATAAAAGTTTTTCCCATATGATGCCGACTTTATGAATGACACTGTACATATAAAATAAAAGGTTAGTCATGAGGAACTGTACATACTCCTACCAATAACAGATGCCCCTGGTGTCTTTTTCTCTTATTCACTAATAATACAGGCTGTAATTTGATTGACGGCTGAAAATATAGGATATGGTTCCTTAGCTCATTTTAAGATGAGAAGTTCATATGAACCTACGCCCTAAACCTCTTAACTTTCGAACTATAGGGTGTTAACATTTTATTTTCTCTTTCTCATCGATTAAATAAAATTTCACAATGTGAAGAATTGTCACGTTTATGAATACTTGTCAAAACAAGACTGCGAATTAATCGATCAAATGTCATTATTTTAAATACAGGGCACCAGCCTATACTAGTTCAACATAATTTCGTTATACCACAAATGCATGATAATTGTTTTTACTTTTAACGCAAAGGAGGTGCATCGGACGAAAAAATTCAATGAGTCAAAGTATTGCAAAATAAATGGAGATGTGAACAATGATTTGTTTTTTTGGAAAAAGCAAGGGCGTACAATATGTTATCAGAAAAACTTCCAGTATACATCTCATACAGACGCAACTGGTAGAAATATTAAAAAAATATCCTGCATCAAGAAATGCCAATTGGTGGTAGGCGCTGTCAAATTTCATGAAAATATCTAGAACAGTATTGAAGTTATGATGAGAAACCGATTTTTTTCTTAAAATGTTTACATGTTTATAGCTCAAAAGTTAAGAGATTTAGGGCATATGTTCATATCAACTTTCATGCTTAAAATAAGTTAACGAACCATATCCTATATTTTTAGCCATCAATTAAATTACACTCTGTATTGAATGAATTATTGGATTAGGCATGAATATCTTTCCGTCTAAATCTTTCAACGGCTTGTATGATTCGTCTGATTTTTCAATGGAATATTTTATTACTGATCTCTAATCGACTGACTCTTTCAGAATCGGAAAAATCCAGGACCGTACTTGGAACATTTTGATAGTTTAGTTTATATAAAAAAGTTCATCATGCGTTTATGATCTAAGAAAGCATTCATTTATATATGTTCAACAATAATTGGGGCTTTTTAAGCAACTTCAACAATCAAGCGAATCATATTACTCATTTTGAGCAATATTTTCTGACTCGCTAAAAAATCCCCAAGGTATCATTTCGCGCACTATAGATACAAAAATAACTATCTTTTGATTGTAATCGATTTAATGTCAGGATGAAAATCCCATCAATGTGTGCATCATGAGATATTTCATATACTGGAACTCCCAGTAAAAGATCGTAATTTAATTTTCCATGAAATTCTCTGAAGTTTTTGTTTCACTGTGAGTGAGAAGTGAGACCATGCACTTCATTAGTATTATTTTTCAATCAGGCTACTTCCTTTGAATTCAGATGTCTTATTTGAATTCGTATACTCATTTCCCTGAAGGGCCAGAATCGTTTTCCGCGTGAAATTCCTTGATTCAACCTTTTGAAAAAGACCCAGTCCCCAATGAGCGAATAAATTGCTCTTGAATACATTTCGATATAGAAGTGATACGGATGAAAACGAGGTTTATTCAATATACACTGTGTTGCAATTCGTTCAACCGATCCCTATATTTCCATATCCCTCTTGGAATATGAAGTATGGAATATCAATCAGAAAACAGGGGAAAACGTCTTATACACAGTATAGCATATCTATGTGGAGAGCAGATTCACTATATCACCATGTCATTTTGAAATTTTCTTTCGAGCAGTTTCCAAAAACTGTGTCACTTAGAAAACTTTCCAATCGATAATATCTTCCTTTCAGTAAAGACATGGAAAATCGAAAAGACTCGCCAATTTCATTCCTGAGGAAGACACTTGAAATGCATAATTTTTTCATTTTTTGGTTTCCGAAAAATGCCGTTTTGAACTTACAGAAGAAATAAGAATATGCCTTAGAGAAGTTAGAGAGTCTATACTGCCCAGTTTCCACATTGTACCATTATACTGAAGATGGTCGACAATTCGAACATTTATTATAATTTCATTATATTTTAATAAATGAACAGTTTTCGCTCATCCTGTATGAATAAATATCCGAATAATCATATACTGTTGGATAGACCATTATATGCAATTTTCAATGAGGTGTCACATGTCCACTGTTTGCATTTGAGAAAGTAGTCGATTATGTCATTACTATATGGCATCAAAAATCAAAACTTGTGGCGTGTTTTTTGTTTTTTTCATGCATACCGATAACACCCTGTATATTGAAGGTATTAATGTCCTTTTTCAGGCGCCTATGGCTAACAAGAAACTATTCACAGGGGACACCATTAATAACGTTATCAGATGCCGTAAATTACCAGGACAGCTGAATGAATTCAATTTCTGGGATTAGTACTCTTCCTTTTCGATTATGAAATATAGGAAATTGATGCGTCGAATTTATAGTTCCGACGGCCCTGAAGAGAATTCCGGTTTTACGAGGCTGTTATATTTTGACAACACGCCATCAATTACAGGGGAAGCTAGATTGGAAAAAGGAGTTTATCATCTGACATAACTCCGTGATTTGACTCAATTTTTATTGCATTTCTCACTTCAGTTTGTTGACATTACAAATCATAACCGTCAGAGCAACATTTTAATGTCAATATGATGATGGCTATTTTTTTTATTATTTTCGATCGCACGGAAGGGAATCCCTATTCCCTATATTTTTTGTGGAACATCGTGCCATATTATGCGTACTTATAGTAGAGTAAAGTCGGGGATTATGGACTATATCCGGTTTAATAATTAGAATTTCTAACCATATATCTTTGACAGAACCACAAGCGTCATCTATTCTAATTTGTTAACACAAATGTGTGTATCCCAAACACATTCGAAAGAGATTTTGTTTGATAGGATTGGTTAGTTACGTAGATGAATGATGTATGAAAGGTCATCAGCATATTGACAAGAAAAGGCCTCAGGTAAAACTACAAGTTATTGATTTGTATTAATAATGAAGAAGACTGGTCCTAACACAGAACCCAGTGGTACGCCTATTTTTTTATGTAAATGCATGGGATGATATGAAATGAGGTTGATCATTCTCTACTTTATGGAATATCTTTACCCTCTGAGTGCTGTTTAAAGGTAAGAGTCAAACCATTCATGAATATTTCCTCTAATGCCAGAATTGTAGAGTTTTTTCAATGAAAGATCATGTTGAACACAATCAAAAATGCGCGACTCATATCACAAAACACAGCAGGATTTTCATTAGATTCCGGACCTTCCAAAATCTTTTCATAAAGTGAATATATAGCAGTCATTGTTGAAAGACCTTTATGAAATCCATGTGAATTTTCATGTAGAATTCTATTCTTAATCAGATAATCAAAGTATGTTATACACATACATATATCACAACTCGTTGGAAAACTGGCCTAAAATTTTCCATACTATATGTACATCTCCTCACTTAAATAGAGGTGTTATCAGAGACATCTTCAATCTGGAGGGAACAATTCCATTTTGAAATGATTCATTTATTGAATGGCATGTGATCATTCCCGCTAGACCCCAAGTGTGATGCATTGATGAAATCAGCTCTTCAGGGAGAATCTAAAAATGCAATAATATACAGGGTGTTCCATTAAAAAACGAAGTTAATGTCACTTCTGGTTCAAGCTACTTGAAAAAATTTTATAAAAATAGGTTACATCAGGCAATGGCTGTACCCAAAATTTCAGATTGATGTCTCTTTTGGTTCATCATGAACATGTAATGAGTTAGTTAGGTGAATTACCCTGATGTATACCAGGAAAGCTTTCCCTAATAGGAAATCGGATCATAGAAAAAACACCCAAGCAATTACATTAATATTCTAAGTGAAATTACTCACCGAACTATTTCTATTGTTGCAAGCTGCTTGCAGTTCTTGTACAAACCTCGCATGTTTTTCAAATTCCCCAGGGTTGTGTGTCCTTGGGTATTTGAAAGCACAGCAGTGGTAGGGATATGTCAACCATGCTTCTTTCAATAACTGAAAAAATATTTCATGAACATCAATATAAAATAATTTTGTCTACATCAGAACTGCTCTTAATCAACTGTTTTCATTGTGCTACAGTTGTTATGGTTATTATTATACAATAACTCAAGTCTTCCCCAGAATGACAATGATTTTTTTTTCTGATGACAGCTTTGTTTTTCATTTCGCAGTTGCATGTTGAAGTCATAGAAAAAGTATAGTGTATAACTTACACGGATTGCTCATTTCCCACTTGTATGAATAGCAGTGGGAGTTATCGAGGGTGATGAATACTCTCAAAAGTGGACCACCTGGTATATATTATGACTTTCGGATTCAGGAATAATGTATTCCATTCATCACCATAACACGCACAGCGAGTTACATTTTTATCCTTTCATTTATGAATTATTCCAAATCGGAAATCATGACTCACCTGAAAGTTGAATACAGAGGGAAACATTTTCAACGACTTTGTATTCTGTAGTTTGAGAGTGTCAATATCCCTCAAGCCTTCTACCGGAAGGAAAGTTATGGCAGTACCTGAAAGATCTCTGAAAAAAAATCAAGTATAGGTAAACAAGGTGGACCATTTTTCGTTGTCCTACTATTGCTATTTCTGCAATGGTTAGGGATGGAAAGTTGATTAAATGGAACAAAAGTTGCACATTTCGGCAGTGGACATTAGGATTATGTGAAGAAATCAAATATATCATTAGCCTTTCCAGAGATGATTGAGAAAAAACAAAATTGTCGATTTCGAAAAATTTCCCCGACTTTTTTTAGTTTTGTTCATCCAGAGCCACCCTCAACTTTTTTTTTAAATAACGGACCTGAATTTTTTTCACAACAATAAATTGGCCCTTTTTATTCTGTATACAGACATATATCACACTTATAGTTTTTGTCTGTGTAACTCTTCTTATTTTCCGAGCGAAAATCGACAATTTTTTTTTCCTCTCAATTATCTCTGGAACGGCTAATTATATCTTTGATTTCTTCACATGATCCATATGTGCAACTTCTGTTTCATTAAATAAAACTTTCTATCTCTCCGTTTCAGAGATACTAATTGTGGGACAACGAAATGTGGGACACCCTGTATAGTCAAATATGTAAACGTCGGCATCAATCATCTGAATACGTCATTCCCTGAAATGCCAAGTCATTTCACGTATTGCCAGCGAACAGCGTACCTACATTTCGTATACACCGTTTGCCTAAAAGTTTCAGGCATTCCCTGTAATGACGAAAGGAAGGTTCATTTAGACCATGCTTATGTAGAAAAGTAGATTGTTTTATTAGGATCAAAAGTGACACATTGTTCGACAAGCGAATTTTGAATTTGCGAGGCTGCGAAGCCGAGCGAAAGCAAAGTTTGCATTAACATATCAGGTTTATTCAATTCTCAAGGATGTTCGAATTGTAGTTTCAATATAAATACAACCACAGATTGACCCATTTGTGAATGGACCAAGTGTCAGTCCTAATAGTGAATACCGCGCCAGTGCCAGGTCATCGAAAAACAAGTCTGATAGTTATTGTTCGATGTCCAGGTATAAGAAAAAGAAATGGAAAATAGTGAGCATAGTGTGCTTACCGCCGTTGGTGATTAGCCTCAGTAGCAAGAAAAGGCCAACGTTAAAGAAACAAGTAAGAAAAAGAACAATAATAATGGCGATTATTTATTTCTCTCCATACTCCACTGCGTTTGGCTAGGTAATCAAATATAGATGAACAATATCGTTGTTTGAGACAAAAAACTATTGCTGGCCGTGATTATTCAAAAACAAGCAAGTATGTGAATCTTGAAGGCTTCCCTGATCAAAACAAAATTACTTGACTATAATATGGTGTATTTATATTTCCAGCATGGGTATGAAATGCCAAACCTACTGGAATCGGAATCAAATCAGGTATGCGTCCCAACACATCCTAAAGTTCAACTTTTGCTCCTAGGAACTAAAAGTGCTGCCTAGCAACATACCTATGTTTGGGTCAGTAATAGAAACGTCAATTCGAGAGCTAATTTTGGAAGTATAATGGATGACTTCTGTGTCGGTTGTAAAAAAGGGTATTTTCCTTCCTCAACCATCTGGCAAACAGAGTAACGGCTGAATGTAAAGCTGTTGGCCTGTAATACGTGAAATGAATAGGCATTTCATGGATTGACGGATTTCACTAATTGACGCCGACATATACAGAGTCGTTCATTAATAATTGAAAATATTTCAACTATAGAATCCTGAACTCAAAATATGATGATTCAACCATATACGTATTAATAAACAATACGGATCATAACGGGTGCCAGGATGAAGCCAAAAATATGAAACAAATGAATATCCATAAGGATTTGGTGGCATGATACGCATGCGCCATGCGCTATTATAGTAGTCATCAAAGACATGCGTTTCGGTGGACATTGACGTTTATTAGCCTTTCAATCAAAGCAGTATGTGTCTGATCGTTTCAAAACTTTTCCTTATGGATAGTCATTTGTCTTCAAAAATCGGCTTCATGTTTCGCTATGGAAACAGATAGAGATTATCCGTATTGATTATTAATACGTATATATGGATTCAACCCAAACCATCTGGATAAAATGTGTCTCCCGTGGCGTAGAATTTGGAAGGGATAAATTGTCACTCACCCCTGGTATACGCCTCTGGTAGTAGCCAGAAACGTTCGTTTAACTTGAAGTATAGTGTATACTTACAATCTTCACCAAATATGACAATAATATACGTCGAATACGGAACTGAGACTACTGGGCACAAATGATTTTTGAATTTTCAAATAAAAAACTGAGACTGGAGAAGACTCATTTTATCTAGATGATTTGGGTTGAATCATTATATTTTGAGTTCAGGATTCAGTTGAAATATTTTCAATCAGTAATGAATCACCCTGTATAATAATTGGAACGTAAACGGTGAATATTTTTGCACTCACATGTAGCGTAGGCTTTGTAATCCTAGGAATGCCTTCTTATGTAACTTTTGTAGATCGAAATTACCCTTCAGGCTTCTGAAAGACACATTATTTCCTTGAATCATTCAGATTGTTCATTTGTGCTCTTCAATAATGATTGAGAACTACGTGACACTCACTCAATCATTGTTTAATGCCCGTTAAATATTATCAGTGAATGATAGAGAAAAAAAGTGTATTTGGAATTTGTGTTTGATCTCAACAAAAGTAACAATGTCTTGAATAGCCGCCATTTCTATAATAAATTTTATCACTCATTGAACTAGGTATTCGACAATTTCAATATTCTCCTGAAGATGCTAGCATAGTAAGAGAAACATGTGTTCAGTCGTTGGAAAATCGGTTTGGTTAAATAGTGTAGTGTAGTGTAGGTGATTAAAGTGACAAAGGTTCTAGATGTCAATATACATTGTATATATAAATATAATAGTGCAGCACACAAAAAAATCTCTAATGAAGAAAGTATGCTTCACTTCGAGCATATACATATATCCATTCAGAGAAGTTCTTCAGAAAAGTTATTTTGCCATGGAAGTGTGAAAAGGTTAATGAATTCTAAGCCATGTAGCTTTTCTGTTAAAGTAGAACTTTCAAGCCTTATTGTTGGGAATTTCCAGGGATGATTCCAATTGAAATCCCTAATGCATAAATGAGCATTCAACAGCGTCAAATCTCAGTTTCGTACATCTATTAGGAGCAGATCTAAACATTGGGAGTCTCGAAGTCGGTTTGGAAAGCAAAGACAGACAAAGTTGAGTGGCTTCTATGGAAACAAAGGAACCTGAAGCCATCATAATATTGAGTTCAACATGGCAAAGTTCGTGAAAGATATTTAGGCTTTGTTCATAATACATACAGAGTTCTCGGGTTCACACTGTCATCAAACATTCACAGTCAGTTCACAGGGGGACATATATTTTATGTTGGGAGCATATGGAAATTATTGTTAGGGTTTTCGGGGGTTGTAGTGAACAATAAATACACTGCTTATTCTTGAATTGATTCATTCAACTAGAAGCAACACTTATTCATGACTTGTTAGTCTGTTGACTAACTATTCATTTGATCATTTCCAGATTGCATACACGCGATAGACAAAACTGTCCTATTGACTGACTACTGCTCTCCTTGGCTGTCCCAAAATTACCTACTTAGAAATATTTCATCCATATATAGACCCTAGTAACAAAAGTAGTGAAAAAAGTTCATGAAAACATGGGTCCGAAAATGGACCCATCTGGAGGAGACCAAGTGATGTTTGTTTTATGTAAATTTTTCCGAATACGATTTTGCATTGCATAATGAAAGAAAATTGAAGAACAAGAGCACCCAGCCACACCTATATGTCCCAACTCCCTAATCAGAATTTCTGAAAATTCCTAATATTACTATAATTTCGAGACACCCTGTATATTAGTCGCAAGGTTTTCTCGAATATTCTAACGTTTTCCATACCTCTCTATAGGTACTCTGTGTTTTTATCGAACATTCGAGGGTCTTCCTTCGCCGGATATAGTGGGTGTTCATGTTAAAATAATCAGGATGTTTGAGCACAATTTGTATGATACAGAGAGATCGATGTAATCTCGCCAGTTTTATTTCGCTCAGGGAAATATTATGAGATTATCTTCAAACAATGCTCCGCGAAATCAGATTCGAAAATTTCTATAATGAGGTATGTTCAGGGTGACTGTTTATATTTTACTCAATAGCTATCTCAGTTAATATTGGCCTTACAGAAACGTTCAATGGGTAAAAATGTTGTATTCTTTATGGGGATTCAGAATCTATTACTGGAAAATGTTAATAGGCATCGTAAAACTGAAAATTCTACCTGAACTGGTATTTTCAAATTGAACACCCTGTATTTCATTTTTTCCAAGGGTAGGGCTCTGTCTTCTGATTTCAAATATATATATATATATATACTTTATCGTGGTCAGTTTCTGTAAAATATAGATTTCTTGGTATAAATCTAAGGCAAGTGTATAACGCCAGACCCTAATGCTGCGATTTCTGGCGATTTACCTGCTTCAAAATCTATATTTTTCGAAAACTGACAAGGATTACCTCAATAAATTATATATATTTGAAATCAGAAGAAAGAGCACTACCATTTGGAAAAATTAAATACAGGGTGTTCCGTATCAAAAATACCAGTTAATGTAGAATTTGAATTTGAACGTTGCTGCAAGACTGTAACTGAGATAGCTGTTGAGTAAAATATAAATATAATCACCAGAAATATGGATTTCACTGTCAATTTGTTATTTAGAATACTTGAGTATGTTCATTGATATCATTTATGGTGGTTTACTCACAAATTTGCGATCTGTGATCCTGCAAAAGCTGCTTCTTCCACCACTTGTATGTTATTGAAATTCAATAACCTGCAAATCAACAATCAATCACATATACACGGTGTTCCTTAATTATATTTTGATATTCCTTAATAATGTATAGGTACTTACATTTGTTCAGCTTTAACATTACTGACTTGTCTGGATCTGATTTCTTGTATCCTGTTATGTTCCAGATCGCTAGAAAAATGAAAAATAATACCGAGAAACAACAAGTTTTCAACGGACAATATGAAATGGAACGTGAGATGTAACCGAATGTCCATAGTATCTACTCGACTGTATATTTTAATCACGTTTGTTATTAATTCGAAACGCTTCAAGAATTGGAAATTGTGTACAGCTTATTTCACCAATGAGAAGTTATTTACCCAGTTGACTGTGAACTAACTTTTGAAGGAATTTAGTTCGTTCATTGTGAACATTTTCAGTATTCTTGTCCACCGCATAAATGAGAATGGGGATGTATACCTATTAAATGAGTTCAGAAATATCTTTTCATTATTGCATTGTTAATACTTTTATGATTCATTGCATGAATTTACTTGATCAACAATACCAGTCATATTCCTTCAAGTGCAGAGTTTCAAATTGTATTTTAATTTCAATGCAAAATTCAGAATATTTGTATTCATCGCATTAAGTACCTACTTCAATATTTGAGTACTTTCAGATTTGGTATATATACGATACGTAGTTTTGTCGAGCTTGAAACTAGTTGAAGTTTTAAATTAAATTTCCATCATATCTACTCAATTTCTAGTTACACAAGTAAAATATAATTTATTCAGCACGAAACCAGATCAAAGAGTGTGTTTGCTTTAGATCATTTTCATTTTCAGTCTAGGTTAATGGAATCAACTAAGACTAATTCTCGGATAACTAATAGGGATTCCAAATGACCCGCTCAAAGGCTTGTTTGACAGGCCTAATTTGGGATACATTACAGTGACCTTAGTGGCCAACCTTTGTAATGAACTTTCAACTTCGTTTTATACCAACATTTTTCTCTTTGTCAGGCCTGAAAAAATCCCTGTACAACTTCTGTATGATGATACTGAAATAATCAGAATTCGTAATCGTGTTGATTTCTTTGTAAAACAAGATCAACTGAGTAACTCCAGAGTAAATCGAAATCTTTATTCTATCAAAGGGAATAAGAAACACTGTAAGACTTTATTCTAAGTTGGTAAGAAGGTTTAACAAATTGTTATATACAACTGATCATATACAAGGTGATTACATTTTTTTTTCGAAAGAGTGAGTGAACTGTGCGGTAGAGGCAAACAATCAAACCATTTATTTTTCATAACTGACAACATACATTGTATAGGAATAGTCTAAGATACTAAAAAACTATAAAACTTACAAACTAAAAAAGAAAAAGACTGAGAAACTTACAAACTAATGCGAGTGTATATTACAAGTAGGAATATACGTATACAAAAACTCGTTCACAGTATACAAAAGCCAACTAAAAATATTTTGATTTTTTTTTTGAAATCTATTTCCTTTTTACAATTTTTTATTGATTCAGGTAATTTTTTGAATAACTTTGGCCCAATAAAGTTTGGCGATGAACTGGTAATATTCAATCTAACAAAGGGTATCCGCAAGTTATTTTTTTGTCTCGTACTTATTGAAATTGTGTGTATTATAATTTGTCGGTGTTACTTCCCTATTTCTATAGACAAATGAACACATCTCAAGAATGAATAATCCTGTCAGAGTTAATATGTTCAGTTTTTGAAAAGATCTCTGCAAGAGTGCTGTCTTGGTTTTCCTGTTAAACACCTTACAATTCCTAGAATGTATGGAATTGTCCCAGAAGTTAATTTCATAAGTCAAACGAGATTCCACCTGTGCATAGTAAAAGCTCATCAATCGTTCATGAGTTGAAATAGTCTTCAAATTGTACATCAAGTAATAGCAAGAGTTTAGCTTAGATGTTAAATGATTCACAGTGTGTTTTGAAATTGAGATTCTTATCTAGCTCAATACCCAGAAATTTCACAGTATCGCTGGTTACAAATTGTTGACTAGATAGTTCTATAATGAAATCCTCACTGCTGTGAGATACTATTTAGTTCATATTTATCCCCAAATATAGGGTTTGTTGGGGTGCTACGGTTGCTACAGGCGACGAAAAGGGTCGGAAAGTATATGTCAGAAAATATTTTTATTTGAACCATTTCCTTCTCTTTGAACTATACTTTTGATTAACAATCACCATGAAAGCAGCATCACTCGATAAGGGTTCAAATAGCAAATTTCACTGCAAATCTTATCTTATGATGAAGGTTTGGCACAAATTTTCAAGGAAACTGAAAGAGAAACCTAAATTATACGGGTTCAAACAGAACAATTGTAATTTGAACCCCTTACCAACGGTATAAATTCCTTATAAGGGAGAAAGATATGGCCTGAAATGAAAACATTTCAGAGGCAGACTTTCCAAAATTTATCAAATATGAAATATCAGGCTTTGTGTAATCGAATTTACCCGCATTCTGAATTTTGACACATCATCAAATGATATAATGAACTGATATTCAAGATTTCCAGAATTTCATTTGTTCGAAATCTGATCGTATAGGCTTCGATTCTGCAATACACTTTGCTTCAATTGATTATGGAGTCGAATTGAGGAAATTTCAACAACAATATCGGATAGGGGAGTGAAAATAAAGTACAAAAAAGAAGAAGATTTAATTAATCTAAGGTGGATGGTCATACTTACCTTCATCTGAAGGTCAGGGTGGTTTGAGAAAAATCATTAGGAGGAAGAAGAGTAGATATGTCAGTGTCAGGAGTCGACAAAAAGGGCCAGTGGGAGCCTACTTGTTACTATAACTACCAACCTTATACTACTACATTGATGAAATAAACCTCTGGTGTACGCACTTCAATCCTTTCCTGTTTTACAATTCCTTGATTTTCGACTACTTCGATGAACATAACATGGCGTGGGTGAATGTCGCTAAATTTAGTCTGGTGCCGTACCAAAATTACAGGCATCAATGTGACAATTGTGACCGAATTGTGACCAATGAAGAAAGGGAATACATTTTGCGATTTAGCCGCATCAAGGTTGGTAGAACTGATGTTGATCATAAGTTCTAAGAATCACGCCATCTAACATTCGATATGTGAACCCCACGTCATCGTCTGAAATTCAATTGTTTATATCAAGAACCAGTCTGACGAAACAAATGAAGAGTGAGCGCACCAGAGGTTTATTTCATCAATACTACTACTATTAGTAGTATCTCAAACACATTTATTTTAGCTGTTGTTCAGTGATCCTCTTTTGCCCAATTTATCAGGAACCATATCATAGGTTGAAATGAGCAAACCAAGAGACAAACCGCGTTTTTTATGATACATTATTTTCTCATCTACTCATAATTCAATGACCAGAATCGGCTAGATACGCTCCAAATAATGCGACTAATGATCCGAAATCGACTTGGCAGTTATGGCGATTAGGTTTACAGCAGCATTCTGTTTATATCGCGTTATCAGGGGAATAGGGGACCAGTAGGAATTATATACTTGGGATGGCTCAGACCCCTTTTAATTGAGTAGGTTTCCGTTTCCGTAGAGATTTCCGGGCTCTCTGATTGGGTCTGTCAGGTGGACCGTCGTCAGATGAGAGAGATAAAACGATAATGACATGATTCTCCGTTTATTCGTTCGTTAACGTATTAATTGATGTTAAGATGTCTCAACGTTGTATTGTGCCTTTGTGCTCCTAGGAAACGAAGATAATAACCACATAATACAGGTATATCATAACCTCACTTCCACACGAATGACTTATTATGACCTATAACCATGCACGATAGAGCCACCACTGGGACATCCTGACCATCAGGATAAAGTACATAAGTACCACGACCTCAAAATGAAATATTAGATTGCTATTGATACAGTAGTAGGACTAAGCCGGTTTGGGCCCACTACGGTTGGACGCCCAGACTTGGTACCTATTGAGGTCGACTCGACTAACATGTATGACAGGTGACCAGTAACATAATATAGTAGTACATAAACCGACCACAAAAAATTACGAGCAAAAGGCACCCTGACTGTTCACTGATTTTGCAGTTTTGTTCCTGTGAACAATCGGTTGATTCAACAGTATCGTTGCTTCAGTATAAATGGTTATTCAAATTTCGATAAGAGTTTACAACGTGTAGGGATGGGAAGAAGTATATTCTAGTTCTTGTTTTTGTACAGGACATATTTGACACAAGTTCAGCCAGAGACTAATGGACTAATGAACTAATTTTTCAAATTTTTTCCATAGATCCTTCCAATTTCATATTTTATAAGAGTTTTTCGGTCGATTTTAGGGAGCCTAAGTCATCAATCTGGTAACAGTAATTTTCAAACGGCAAGAAATTTAAATGAGTATGAATGAATGAATGGTTTATACACGCAATACGATATATTTAAAGCGTTCAAACCTTTCTTGCTTCACAAAAAATATAGACGACTGTGTAGACGTGCACGAACTTTCAACTTTGTTGCAAATTATTTAGGGTAGGAACGTTATGATGATGTATTTTTTTTCTATTTTATTCGCTCTCACAACATGAAATATAACGTCGTAAATTCCTTTTATCAATATTGCATCCCACATTATGCTCTAACGTACATAGTTATCTGTAAGAAAGTCATGCCAACATGAAAATTTGTCTCGGTAAATACAGGGTGTCGAGAAAGGTCATGCGGACTGACAGAGTGAGCCAAAATAATGTTAGTATTTTATATAAAAAATGTTTCACTTTCTTCAATACCTAATTAAAAAGTTATAAGGGTGACCCATCTTCGAAAATCACCCGGTATTGAGGTTCTATACTTACATCATATGTAGAACCGATGTAGTGTTCAGGCAATTCAAATTCGGCATTTCTTCCAGACCAGTGTTTACTATCCTCCTGGAATGTTATATAAAACAGAGAGACTTTGTACAAATAAACAAGCTAATTAATTGATGAATTGTAAAATGCTATCATAACGATTGAAACTTTATAAGTCATAAATCATCGCTATACAAACACTTTGATAATCAATCAGCCATGAACACAATAAGTTATTACATCTTTAAATAAGAGGTGCAAAGTTTGGATATTGAAGTTAAGCAACAGGTAATCACATATCAATTCCATCACAGCATACGAATATTCAGGAAAGCGATCTGTTGCAACAAACACCATTGTACTTAATTTCAATAAGGACTCCGAAGGAGAGAAGCCAATTAATAAGGTACTCCAAATAATTAAGATACTGCAGAAACAGAAACTACCTGTATGCGTTTCTTGTATGACCTAACTTTGATATACAGTTGTTTACCACAAAGGATTTACCCCAATTAAGGTAAATAATGGTTCACGTTTAATGTGACATCCCCTATTGAGGGGAAAACGAAATTGGCAAAGGGTGAGGCCGAATAATTTCCACTGACGCCAGCCGAGCAATAATTTATTGGTTGTGTGACGTAAAGAAATCATGAATTCTTATAAATCACATTCAATAAAGCCTTTTTTCAGCAAATATGTCTCGATTTTCCCGTCGATTTTGTTTTGAAACAGAAGACAATTGATATAGTAGACAGAAGAATAGGATGTTTCAATACTTCTATTCGAATTCCAACTGTATATTTTGCTGCTGCAAATTTTTATTCGATAAAGATGCTTGATTGGATTTGTTGAAAAAACTTACAAAATTTTGAGTCCTGGCAAGAATGCTCTGAACACATCTGGCTGAATTTTAAGTAGCTTTGGAGCTCGATGAATGTATCTGAAATCAGAATGGAAAGGAAGATCACGAAATACGATCAAACATTTTTGGGAACTCTGAAACACACTGTTTGACCACTAACGAAACAGATTTTTTACACCTCCACACGTGTTTCGCTAACTATGTTAGCAGCTTCAGGAGAAGATTAAAACTAAATGTTTCTCCTGAAGATGCTGACATATTTAGCGAAACACGTGTCGATGTGTAAAAAATCGGTTTGGTTAGTTGTGGTGAAACAGTTTGTAGTGTACTATCGTGCCAAAGGTTCCAGTCTTCGATATAGTAAAAGTATTATTATGAATGTTGCATTTTTCTCGATTTTTGAAAAACCATAGAAAGATTTTTCAAAATGAAATGTCATGCATTCTGACTCTTATTAAGAAAATTTCATCACAGCAGTATGGAGTAGTCAACCTATTTCATTCCATTCCTTGTTTTACTTCCGAGAACGTTTTTAGATAACAATTTTAAAACAATTTTTCTAGAGAACGTTCCATGGATGTTTTCACCAGTATTTCACGATGCAAGAATTTATGGACGCATTGTACATAAAGGCAATGCCCGGAATATTTCAGTATGTGACAAATGAAACAATCTCATATAGGTACTAAAAAATATTCTGAACAATTTAGTTTGCTTCTTTTAGATGAATTCTGAGATTTCAACTTACTCTAGTCCTCCCAGTATACTGCCAGTTTCATACAAATTCTTCCGGAGTTCAAATCTAATAATAGAAGTTACATTCATAGACTGCCGATATTTAATTGATGTCAGAGTTTCCTGATTCTGATAGAAGAATTTTCAGGTGATTTCATCTGTGATTACCATTTATAACGAATTGGTACCTACCAAATGCATCATTTTTGCAGTGGCAGCTCGTCACGAGAGGCAGATGAGGCACTGCCTCAGTAGTGAGAACATGGAATACAGGAAAATAATGGCTACATGTACATATACATTATCTTACATACCGTAGAAGGAAAGCTATGGGGAAAATATGAAAAAAACAAAATTAGTCGATTCTTCACCTTGATTTTCTCACAGGAATATGTTTGAAATGAGAGAGAAAGATTGGCTAAGTATACAAATCAAGTCACATACCGTAGAAGGAAAGCAATTTTCTGGTCGTGAATGCAAACCCATCTCAATTATTCACGAGCCGTCTCTGCACTTCTAGTTTGGTATAAAAGATACTCACCTATATCTACGCCTTTTATTGCTGGACAACGTGTTTTTACGCTACTAATATTACAACCGTGTACTTACATCGTCTGAAGTTGACTCAAGTGATGAAAGACGCCAGTCTCAAAGTAATAAAACTTCTCCAAGTTCACGAGAGTGCTGAAACAAAGAAGATATGGAACATTTGATATTGTTTCTGCTCTTTATGGTTTTGTATCTTTTGACGAGATTTCAAATAATTTGAAAATACATGAACACGGATTCATTCAAATCTATGATGAATTATCAGATAATAGGATATTTCAATTTCCTGTCTGCCAATATGGGGAATGCTGAAATATTTGATTTTATGCATCTCATGTATTTTAGAAAGCACACGAGCAGTAGAGATGGTCAGTCAATTAGGTCTACTGGCAACTACATAGAATATAACAAAGTCACACAGTTGTCGTCTCTCACTTATTAACTCAAGAATATTATTGGAATGCCTAAAGTTGAATGTGATAGGCAGAAGAGAACAAGTAATCCTCTTGTGATGACAGGCAGGTCCGAGTGGAGGAACATGAAAGAACTTGATAATCTTCGCTTCCATAAAGAACGAGGAAAAATCCAAGGAATTGATCAACCTCAACAAGATAATAAAAAGGAATTCTTACGGGGTACTGTAGACCTGAAGAGCATCTGAGAATGCTAGGCTTATAGAAGAGAACAGAACTTGCGGATTTTGCAGAAAAAATTTCTATGGTGTAGATCATGCATGATTGAAATCCCCCAAATTCATCAGGAAATCAGAGCTGGAAGGACTGTTCAGAGTTTATTTGATGCTGAAGCTATATTATTTTCAATCAAAGAAGTTTGCAGGTTGAAATTACATTTTATAATCCTTCTCTGATTGTGGCACGATGAAATGTGACCCTATTTTACAATGTGTTCAAAAAAATGGCAACCTTGCTGTGGTAGGTAGAACACTGCAAAATAAGTTGGGTTTGCTCAGTATGTTCTGGAAGCTGACACATCGCATGAATTTATTTTCATATCTGACTCTCATAGAGGGCGCTAGTTACACGGTTCGTACAACTTTTTTGAGGTTAGATTTTCATGTGAACCTAAACATTATTAAAAAAAAATACCAAAAAGTTACTCTTGATAAAACTCAGTACTGATGTGAATTGTGTACCTTTCTCGATATTTTGATTCGAAAATAACGAAGTAATAGCTGATGCTTGATTAAACAAACAATCTCAAGTATACAGAATTGAGATTAATTTGATTAAAAACATTAAATATTGAATCATATATGTTCCTCCGTTTCCAAGAATACATGATCTTTTTTTCTTGAGAATGCATTATTCCCGAGATTATTCCTCTAAACGGTTGAGCATCAGCGGTCATTTAGTGATATTCAATTTTGTGTTGCAACTTTTGACGTGAATTTACCTCTGCAGCATAGATTTTTTCCTTAAGATACAATCAAACTGTTTCAAGTACTGATACAAGTTAATATGATGACATACAAAGTACCTCATCGATGTATCGAACACAGTGAAACAAAATCAATTTTGTGTTAAAGCCTAAGAACAAAATACTTGATACATCAACCGACTGATAAGAATTGAACGTTCCTTCTGACATATTGTATCGTATCGCAATTTCCGGAATGTTCCTGGCTGCAACGATGCAATTGTACCTGAGTAGCGAAAGGGAGCACTATCATTCCAAGATCTCCAAGTCCTTCAATTCCATTTCAGCGAACTTCCTAAAAAACTAGACTGCACTCTTGGGGAAACCGGATAACAAGCAAAATGAACTTGATTCATCTACTCGTGGGTGCCTTATTTCATCAAGATTTTATTCTGCCATGGCGAGATCTCCAGAGTCCAGTTACGATTTGAGATTTGAGTATTGCCAAAGGTATTGCTTTGCTCATAGATGGACAATGGGCAGTAATAGAAATATCTGGCCAATGCAGAAATGTGCTTGAGCGGATATTATTGTTTGTATTAGAGCCGGTCGCCGGTCGTAATGTCGAGTTGATGATTATTTGAATAGAGAATACTGAAGGAAATGGACCCCTGTTATTGGTGTTTCAGAATTACAAAGCGTTACAGAGCGTTGAATTTTTGCGGCCACATATTTATAGGAAAAAAGTCTTATTCTGACACACCCTGTATACAGTGGATCCATCTACCTACTTGTGGTTCTTGGTATTAGATATGATGTTCCTTTATTGGTGCCCTAGTTCATGTTAATTGAAATAAAGCACAATGTATACCACTGTATAATAAACGGCGGGATACCATGAGCTCCATACTGAGTACTACACCTTCTCCAATTTTAGTTCAGAAAGCTTCAAGTTAATTTCAGGAAGTACCAATTGTATTCCAAGTCAGTTATTTTAATTTCAAAAAGTATAAAATGTATTTCAAAATTATCAATTCAATTCAAAACTGCATCATTTCTATTTCAAATTAGTCGTTTAAATTTCATTTCACAGATATGAGTATCCAATGTATTTCAAAATTGCCAATTCAATTTCAAAATGTGTCAATTGTATTTCAAATGAGTCATTTTAGGTTGAAAAATTCCATTTCAATTTCAAAATCCAGCATTCTAATTCTAAAACTGATCACTTCTATTGATGGTGCCACAATGACAGGAACCAGAAGCCAGAGGCGTTCCAATAAAAAGGTGAATGAAAATATCACCTGATACCCATCTAACATTTGCCTGTGCTTTTTCAGTTTTGAAATTAAAATGATGCATTAGGAAATATATTTGATATTTCTTGAAATACAAATGACTATTGTGGAATCTAAAATTTTTTATTTTTGTTATATAATTTGATAATTTTGAAATACAATTGGGGTTTTTTGAAATTGAAATGACTCATTTCAAATAACATTGCCGCATTTTGAAATTGAATTTAATATTTTGGAATACATTTGATACTTTTCGTAAAAAAAAATTTACTAATTCAAAATACAAATGATAATTTTTGAAATCCAAATGACAATTTTGAGACACAATTGACCATTTTTTAAATAAAATTGGAAAAGGTGTAGATAATGAAAATCGGATCAAAATAATAATAGAAATCAAGAAAAGGGCTTGAAATAAAAATCCTATGTATAACATTCAGAGATGAATTATCAAATACATTTCAAGAAAGGTGTTCGATATGAATAATAAATTTTGACGAGGAGGTCGTTTCTGAATATCATGTATCGAATAGTCATTATTTATAATCCAATTTTGTGATTTTTTTCCTGAGATAGGTATATCATTTACTAATTCACTTCATACTGTTATGATGATTGATAGATATTGAGTTATGATCAAGATTAATCATTTTAGTCACAATGTATACTCACAGTTCTCTCAGTGTAGATGCATATGGTACCAAAGAATCACTTTTCAGCACTTCCATACACTCTGCGTCTTCTATGACTCTGGAAAAGAAGAATAATGTGTGATGACGATCGAATGCTGAATATTTGTTTTATGACAGTAATAAGAGATGGTTGCTGACGCAGAAATATATGGACTCTAGACAAGATCCTAGGGGAATTTCTCACAATTTGTGCAGGCGTTGAGCTTTGCGCCCCAGAACATATTGCTATGGATTTCATAGATGAGAAGAGTGACCTTAGAAATAAAATGAAATTCGTAAAATGTATAATCCTGCTTCATAAACAAGATTTCATTTGATGAATATCAATTTTGAATGACTCTGAAAACCAATTTCAGTTATTTATTAAGTTGTCCAAATAATGTACCTACATACAGGCTATTCCATTTTCGATGTCCTTACGGGATATCTCACTTATCTTCAGAGATATAGTTTTGCGGTTTTCACGAACGTTGTCTACTTCTTTTATGAAACTCAAGATACCGTAAATAACATTTTCAAAGCCCTCTTCGTTTATGAGATACAGGGCGAAATCGAAAATGCTGCATTTTGGGACCTCTCCTGATCTCAGCTATCTTTCAACTTATAGGAAAAGTAAAAACTGTCACTTATACAGTTTTTCACGTAGAATCCAGTGGCGTAGTCAGATGTTCGAAATAATCTGTTATTATTCAGATATCACCGAAAGTTATGTTTTTTTGATTGGAGCACCTTGTATATTTTTTCATATTTGAAACATTGATGCTTTGCGCTTCCCAAAATTATATAAGACTTGGACGATATTTTGAGTATCAGCCTTGAATTAAGATCACTCACAATGTTTTTGTATAGAAGTATATATTCCTTATTGATCCGCCTTGTAAAAGTGTGTCAATATTTTTATTTATTTTTTTCGTGAATTTTCATATTCACTCTGTTGCTGACAGAGTGTTTCTTTACATACCACTTTTAATTTTACCAACATTCATCATTTACTAATATTCAGCAGTATTTATTGACTATTAAAGCTGTGGACCTAATTAGTAGGTGGCAATAGAAATAAGCTAGTGCAGAATGTTTTATAATAATTATTATTGTTATCAACTGACTACCTGTCGGAATTCACAAATTTTTCATACAATGGCGAATAATATTCCAGGATATCAAAGCTACGGAAGATATAAGGTGGTTTCTAAATTTTCGTATATTTTCGATATTGTGAACAGGTGACAAGAATAATTATTATAAAACATTCTGCACTCGCTTTTTTTCCATAGCTACCTACTAATTAGGTCCACAGCTTTTATAGGGTCAATATAAAAATTCATTAAATTGAAAATATTGCTACACATTATTAACAAGGCAGATCGATAAGAAATATATAGTACAAAAATTCAAATTATCTAAATTCAAAGACAATACCATTAAAATCGTATGAGTATTATATATTTTTGGAAAGCACAAAGCATAAATAATTCAAATATGAACTGATATATAGGGTGTTTCATTACGAAAAACTCAACTATGGTTGATATCTAAATAATAATAGCTTATTCTAAGGATCTGACCACCCTACTGGATTCAACGTGAAAAATTGTATAAGTGACAGTTTTTACTTTTCCTATTAGTTGAAAGATTGCTGAGATACAGAAGGGATCCCAGAATGCAACAGTTTCAATTTTCCCTGTATCTCAAAAACGAAGCGGGCTATGGAAATTCTGTTCGCGTTATCGAGTGTTTCACGAAAAAGTAGTCAACGTTCGCGGACACCGCGAATCTCTATCTTCAAAAATAAGTGAGATATTCCCTAAGGAAATCGAAAATAGAACAACCTGTATAACTTGTGTGGACATTAATGTCAGATGAGTCAGTAGGTATTCATATTATGTTATTAATCAGATGTTTTCAGAGTCCTGGTGATGAATGTATGGACAAAACGTCGGCTGATTGGTATAGTTCTCAAATTATCCTTTGTCCCTATATTCTAAGTTGTGCTATCGTGGAAAGTATATTATTTTCACCCCGATTACTGACTGTTATGCTATACAGTATACATTCAGCTGGAAAACTCTTTTCCTCTTGCCTCTATTTCTCTTCCTACGCTTTTCGTTAGGCAAACAATCTAGCCGGATGATTGGAATCGGAGTGATGATAATGTGTTTTCACAGATGACTAGAGTAGGTGTCATTATTATAGTGTTGGCGATACCCGATATAGGTATTTTTTCATGAAACTTCGACGGCTCTGTCCGTCTTAAACGATAGCTATTTGTGTACTTTTCCTTCCTAGGGAGAGGTCTTCAAATGATATTGTAAGTATTGTTTTTGTTCTTCTGTTGCATTTGTTTGTTTACCTACTGAGAGGTATTAGAGAAATAAAAATAATGTTAGCATGTGGATGTTATTTCTAGACACACCATAGCCTGCCTTGAGAGGGTTATTACAGATATCCAACATATTTTTAGTTCTCACCATTTCACACACAATTAAACTGTGTTTATGTGAATTATAAACCTCAAGATAATTCATGTTTTGTCGACTCCTCACTTCAAATAACTATAATTTGTTTTTTCTACAAACGTCAAAAAATGACAAGGTTCGCGCATTGATAACAAGATGCGAAGTGACACTTTTTTTCAGTTCCCTACGTTACCATGATACCTTGCACATAACAATGCGCGAAGTAAAACAGTGCGCGAAGTACCTACTTCGCGCATTGTTATGTAAAATATATGAGATATTTTCATTCCAACTTAATGATTCTCAATCGAGCAAACATCCACGAAATCATTTATTTCTGAATGTTCAACCATAACTTTGTTTTATCTCTTGGAGCGCACGAAAGGAAATTCCTATTATGTTCGTGGAACATCGTGCGTACCTAGGGAGGATAGGGGGATGTTTTTTTAAGCCAGTTCAACACTATTTTTTATATCAAGCTAAGCATATTTTTACGTTAGAACTATATTTTTTGACGTTTGTAGAAAAAATGTTTTTTGCAACTCGAGCGCGAAATACTTTGGTCATCTCGACTATTTTTTCAACTCGGCTACGCCTCGTTAAAAAAATCAGGTCTCGATCACCAAAGTAGCATTTCGCACTCTAGATACAAAAATAACTATTTTCTACAAACGTCAAAAAATGACAAGGTTCGCGTATTGATAACAAATTGCGAAGTGACACTTTTTTTCAGTTTCCTACGTTACCATGATACCTTGCACATAACAATGCGCGAAGTAAAACAGTGCGCGAAGTACCTACTTCGCGCATTGTAATGTAAAATTAATGAGATATTTATATTTTAACTATATGGTCCTCAATCGAGCAAAAATCCATAAAATCATTTATTTCTGAATGTTCAACAATAACTTTGTTTTATCTCTTGAGCGCACGAAAGGAAATTCGTATTATGTTCGTGGAACATCGTGCGTACCTAGGGAGGATAGGGGGAGGCCTTCAAAGCCAGTTCAACACTATTTTTTATATCTAGCTAAGCATATTTTTACTTTAGAGCTATATTTTTTGACGTTTGTAGAAAAAATGTTGTTTGCAACTCGAGCGCGAAATACTTTGGTCATCTCGACTATTTTTTTAACTCGGCTACGCCTCGTTAAAAAAATCAGATCTCGATCACCAAAGTAGCATTTCGCGCTCTAGATACAAAAATAACTATTATTCCACTATTGCGATACCAATAACCTCCTATTTTTCTCAGAACAGAAGCAACGATTCAGTATTCATTCTAATATGGAGATGATGACCACGTCCTCCATGATCCGGGAAAATATGATATTTAATTTCATAATAATCCATAATCCATTTATAGAGGACCTCAAAAAAATGTTTATTTCCAGTGATTGATTGCGCAAAACGATTTGGAATTGTTCTGATGTGTGCATGAAAAGGCTATCAAAAAACTAGAGAGAAGGCATTTTTGTGACATCCCCAGGCTATTTAGATATAAATACCACCTGCGGCGGATATTGGCTGTACTATAAAAGTTCTATGTGTAAAGAGAACATCGCAAGATGTTCAATATGTGAGGAAATCTCGTGCTTTTAACATCTCTGAGATGTTATAGTGCTCGCTGGGTTGAAATTCCGACTTTTATGTTGAAATTCCGACTGTTATCGTCTAATCACAAAATGTTGACTCTTATGTCGAAATATCAAGAATGAGCTGAGCATTCATTATAAAAAAACTCATAAATTCAGATCGTGGATAATGATTTTAGTTCAATGATTATAGACGAAATTCCGACTGAAAATGGAATGAAACAAATCGTTCATCTTGAAATAAAATAGAACATTCGTCAGTCTGAGTATGTTTCCACTTTCGAATCAAAAAGATAATAATGTTTATTTGATGAATTGTGTTCATATATCAAAATTATGCTTTTCCTCGAATGAGACAATGATTTTCCTGATATAAATCAATTTCCTTCTCATTTCAAGATGGGAAACAGGAAAACGACTTCATTGAAGCATTTCCCTTCATTTTCTTCCGAGAACTTGTTGAATAAATTATTTTTCCCAAGCGAGAATATCATCCCTTTCTTCATATGCAAACAAACTATCTTCTTGAGTCATACCAATCATGCTTAATTTTGTGTGTACCGATACAACACTGAGTTGAGTTGAGTTGAGTTGATTTCATCACGAGCCCGCGAATATATGTGTCAAAGCGAAGGATAGAATCAACAAGGTGTAATCTCAGGACCGTTTATGCAATTAAAAATAAGAGTACTGCTCTGAACATTCAATAAAGGATCGAAAGGCTAACTAGAGTTAAGAGAATTACAAGAAATGGTATAGCAAAGTTTCTAAAGAACTATATTATTTCATACTGAGACCATCCTTCATACCATTTTGCATGATATATATCTGAGATGTCAGTGCTACAAGACTTCTCATCATCGAATCTCCACCAAATCAGACTGTCCACTCTCGAAAAAATCTCAAAATGTCATCCAAGGAAAGCTCAAACGGAGGTTCTCCCATCATTAAACCCATGTCGAGAAAACTGGACAGAATGATGAAGAAAAAACGCGCCGTATATACATGAATGTTCCATCAGAACAATTAATATTCTGATATTTTTAATGTGCCAATCTAGGTCTACCTCGGATTGTGTGACCGATTTATAGCAACTCTTTGAATTTACACTGACCTAAAATGTCTCAAAACTCAGAAGTTTGTTCGAGATATCCTGTGGACAATTTTGAGTAAATTTTAATAAAATGTGACTCTTCATTCAACTGATTGTGGATTTCTATTTCGACGAATAGCATCACATAATGAGAATTTTACTGCGTTCATGATGTAATAATGAACGGTTAAAAAAGACTCGTAAATAGGACACACCGTACTTTGAGTATAATATACCCCTAGGCATCCGACCACTCTATTCGTTAAACAGGAAAATAACGAGATTGGGAGTCTTTGAAGATTCCACCAAGTGAGCCCAGAGGAGATCAATGTCAACTAAAAACAACTTGTTACTGGGTCCCAAACCCGTAACAAAGAAAACCTTCTTAATTTAATCCACTAGAGTGAATTGCGGATTGGATATTCAATAACACTCTTGAACGAGTGCCATTTTCCAATACTTCTGCTCATATATACAGGGTAATTCAAAATACGATGGGAACATATAAGACATACATGTTTCCCAAAATGCACTCTCTGAGCTACAGCCTCTAAGAGATTATCTGAAATTGTGACTGGAGTGACGGGTTCAATCTTCTGAAAATTTCCATCGTCTTCTTAGACACTTTATTTCCTTCTTGCTTCAAAAATGATATGAACCCAGTTTTGGGAAGGTTTGAATTGAGTCCACACTTTTATTGGCTTAAATTTCATGTTCAAAAAGAGACAGTCTGACATTGAATAATATGATTTTGTGGGTCGTAAAAAATGTTGGCCAGAAAATAGTAATCAACGAAAGGGTAAGTCACATAGTTCTCGTACGCCATGGGTTAAACGCTTGCATACGGAGATTATCGTATGTCGGAACGCATTTGAGACTACTTTTTCAGAGGCCAACACTGGAATACTTGCACATGATCCTTCATTATGATCATAATTTCGGAATTTTTTTTACCCAACTTTTACAGTGGCTGCAGTTTGGAGGGTTGCATTTTAGAACACATACTAAATATAAAGGAGAAGTCTTATCTTGATCCCAACAATACGTCCTTGAATTATTCACATCGAAACACCCTGTATACGCGTTTTCCGACTTTTCACACGAATGGGTATGGCAAAGAGAAATTCGGAGATGAGAACTAAATTTAATTATTTGCTGTCGCTAAACGAGAGATAATATTTTCAGATGTTTTCATGAATTATGCAAGGAAATTATATGCAAACATTCATATACCTGGTGGCCATCGAAAACGTTCCACCGAAGTTTTTTTTGTGGAAAACAGCTCGGACAGGACGATTCTAAATTGGCGGGGGACACATTTTTTTCTATAATTATTCTATCCCAAAGTTGTTATCCTTGAAGCGGAACGGGCATCTACTTTCGATTTTCAAATGGAACAACCTGACTTTTATTCCGAAATCGGTTATTAAATATGTTTTGCTTGGGTATCTCAAACGGCCACGGAGATATCTTAACTGATTTATGAGTTATCAAAATTCTCCATGTGTGTGACGGAGAAATTTCTGTGTGTCCCACTACAAGCAGCCACCCTTGTTTTTCTGTATTTGTTGATCGATATAAATTTTTCACACATGTAGGATAAAATTTGGAAAGTGAGTTGAAACAGATCATCAAAAGGAATGGCGGGCTGCGCTGCCGCCAGGAGGGTGGATAATATTTTTTCTAGGTGGGCGGGGGCTAATTAGGGTAAACAGTTTTAGAAGATGAAAAAAGAGTATATTCAGTAGTGAGTATTGTAATAAGTTAAAGAAGTGCTGCAGTGAATTTCTTAAAATTGTATTATAATTCTTGGGTGATGCGTTCATTACCCCACTACCCCCCCCCCATATCGACGCCATTGGCTGTCGATCTCTTTAAACGGCCGACGGCCATCGGTGATGTTTTGTTCCAACTGACTTTGCATTGATTTTAGGCTCCGTCTAAACAACCGCCCGAGGTTACCTATTTCTATGTAGATGACCGCCGTGAAACATGAGGAAGGATAATATCCTTTCTGCATGAAACAGGAGACTACTTTTTTCAAGCAAACCAACCTAACTAGTATATTTTTCGAAAAATCACTTTTGAAAAAAAAGTAAAAAGAAGTTGGGCCTCGCAGGGTTTGAACCCGGAGCCACCACAGTGGTAGTGAGATACACAGTCAACTCAGCTGTCGCTTTGCTGGGAATCACTATGTAGAAGGAAGAAATATCGTCGTGTCGGTTGTTTATGTATACCTATATAAGTATCCAACCGCCACGGCGGTGGTGTGTGGGCAGTTTCTAAATTTTACTCAATACGATCTACATTCCTGGCATTTTTTATCGATAAACTAATATTATCAGCATGTTCCGAAACTTCTGAAACACTGGCAAAGACATAAAACATGGATCAAAATGTAGGAAACGAGAAGTTAGAATGTTGAATGCAATTGAATCGGTGAGAATGAGAGCAGTACAAGTCCAAATGTTACAGTTTTGGGAAAACAAGAAAAACTCTCTGTAAAGTTGTTCTGTTCTTACGCTCAACGCTTCACGATGAGCGCCGTCATACGCCTTGATATAGTGATATTAATACTGTTTCTCGACTCATTCGATGCAGCTTCGTATTACAGACAAAATGGCTATTCCAGTTCGAAATGTCAAATTTTGGACTTGTACTGTTCTTATTCTCAGTCTCACCGATTCAATTGGACTACGTAATTATTTCACAGGGTGTTTCCTTGTATATATAATGACTAATGCGCCAGCAGTATATATGCGAGTTGAAATCATTTGATGACTCACAGAATGTCCAGTTTTTTTGTGAGATTGACGGGAACTTCAACGAATCTGGGACCTGTGCACCTACATTTTGGAGGTTGTTCTCCGATGACGTCACAAATACAGTATTTTTCTGGATGAAGCGTTCGATGTGAACTGCAGATGGACAAATTTTCACTTTGGAGAGTTGCTGGTATATTCAGTGACACCCAAACCAACACCACACTGAAAAGAATTAAAGGTTAGTTCATTTATGATCAATGTGATTTACAAATGTTTTCATGAAGACAAACTAATGCACCTTCTCGAAAAATACCTCGAATTGGAAACGAAGAAAGATATCAATGCAGTGGCAGATTTACAAATTTGCCACTGCCAGTACGCAATGGGGAAGACCACTGAGGGAAGAAATCCGTGCAAACCTCTTTCAATCAACGAATCATGATTTACATTTTATGTACAATCAATATTATGAGTCGAAGTTGAAGGGAATCGAATCTATATCGTTTTGAAATCAGCATATATCATTCGATATTTCAAACAGCCAAATATGATGGTGGAGTCGTGACGTATTAGTCCCGAACTGTAGCTATCTCTCTCTGATACCTGGTCATTCTGCAGTGTTGCAGTGTAATTGGTCAGTTCAAGGACAATAGGCGTGTTGGGACTAAGACGTCGCACCAGTCACACCAATGAATTGATGAAATTTCAAATGGCACAGGAATTGTGTGTTTTGAAATGGACATATACTAATTTATTTTTTTCATCGTCTTAGCATGAATGAAAAAATTCAAAACTAATTCACTGGTAGTTTTTCAGTATAGAGTTCATGATAATGTCGTTTCAAAAAATCAGTGGTCTTCCCCATTTTTGCTGTTCCTACTGACCTTTCAAAAATTCGATACCCTAGTTCGCAATCATATTCATTACATTTATTCTGTCAATAACATTGCAAACTTATGATTTGTACTCTATCGTCTTCATTAGATACATGACTTTTTTCTCGTTATTATTTAGCATGATTTTGAACTAGGGTGTCGTTGTGCCAGATTCTAAATTATTTTCACAACCAACGATTTAGTGAAGATTACCTGCACTAGAAATAGTTTTAAGGTGTATTATTTTGACCTTCATCATGTTGTAATTATCCAGCTTGAAAGTACGTATAAACGAACACAGCTAACACAAAATAATGTACATTTAGTAAACGTTGTTAATGTTACTTATTGCACTTATAGTTTGAAAACAATACGAACAGTATCTCCAATGAATCCGGTTGATGATGACAATGAAATGAATCAAGTTATGAAAGTCTTACATTACCTTTTTGTAGAAATTTGCAAAATCATCAATTATATCGTCGTATGAAATCAATTAGTTCTGACTCTATGCACAAATGAGCTGAGGCGTTTAACATTTCATGACTGAAACTCGATGATAGATAGTTTTTCGCCCACTCAGCTCTTCTAACCCGAACAATTTGTCGCTGGTTTACATATAGCGAATATCCATTGGATGAATGATTTCCAAATTTTCAAGGGAACAAAAAATTATAGATATAGATAAAATGAACGAAAATGGTTTCGCGGACGTTGAACGCCTCGTGGGGTATAAATGCTAAATAGCGGTCAAGAAGCTATCTGGGACAGCCCTGTGCTGATGAAAGCCAACAGCTCGAAACTGGTCTACAGGTAGTCACGCGTTCCTGAACCACTTCGGCGCAGCTCGGGGTTTAGGAAGGAAACACTTGCGATTTTATTCGTCTATACGAATTATTGCATAGATTTCGGGAGTATGTAATCCATGTTGATGTTCTGCGTGGCATATAGCCAGAAAAGTAGTTGTTTTTCTCTCGGTATCTACCATTTTCGTTCATTTTGTGAACTATCGTGGTAATGACTTTGAGTTTCTCTCTATTTGTGACCATTGCATTCCACTTTGACTATTTGGCTTTTTCCTAGTTGAATATTCTAATAGTATATTTCATATGCAGACGTTAGAATGTTCGGTGTACATACATTGAATTATTGTCTCGATTTTTGATGAAATATGCTGCCCTAGGCTCCAGCCTACTCAAGTACTGAGCCTGCTGGTGAATTCACCACTGTATATCAATGTATGGTTATCACCATTGAGTTTGTTATAAGAATGTCCCTTTAAGCACCCGGAATCAATTTTCTTCTATCTAGTTCGAAAATCTTCCCTTACTTTTCCATTCAGAGTTCGAATTTCTCCTACCCTATTTCGATGAAACTTCGAATACAGGTATCTGAGATATGAGCAAATAAAATATGTGTAAGTTTCAAAAATAAAATGAGGCCTCTTCAATCTACATACACCTGATGATTTATTTTTTCCTCTATGTTGCAGAGATTGTCCTGGATTTTATCGAATGTGGAGGAGTGAAAAGCTAAACCTTTTTTTATCGCTTGGTGCGCACGGAAGGGAGTCCTCATAATGCTCTAACCCACTAAGCAAAGTTGTAAGCTATGTTGATGTAATGTTGAAGCAATTACTGAAACAGACGTTCAGCAATATTGCAAAGGTGAAGTTTGATAATGTAGCGTTGCAGCAATATATCATGTTACTGTGACATTGCTGGAACATTACATTCACAAATTTATATTTGCAATATTGCTGAACGTCCGTTTCAGTGATTGCTACAACCTTGCATCAACATAGCTTCCAAATTTGCTTATTGGGAAGAACATCGTGAATACCTAGGAAAGGTAGGAAGAGGAGCTAGGTGTTGGATTTTTTTTGAAATTTTGATTATAAGTTCTTGGATATTCTTTCTTTTCTTAGGCAATGCATTTCAGAGCTTCCCCGTTCTATAGAGAAATGAGTTTCTTCTCTTCTTTTCTCTTTCTATCACTTTGAAAAAAACTTCATCATCCGCGGTTAAATTTTGAACATATTGTTCTAGAAATAATTCAGAAAGCACCTGAAGCATTTTCATTTATAGACTCACGTTTATAATTCTAGTTTTTCATGAGAATGTGGAAACAGTTGTCGTGACCACATCAATCCACATTGAATAAAATTCTTACAATTCTCATGAATTAAAACTGTGTATGTTACCCTGAGGAATATTATTATTCCATGATTTCCATGTTGTATTTTCCGTTATAAATGCCCATGAATGGTATTTCATGCTGTGCCTTATATAGATAAATGATCTAGTAAGAGTAAATTGAATTTTTCATTTAGAGCTGTGGTGAAAACGATGTGCATATTACCTTATTTCGGTTGAGTGAAGCAAATAGCCGGAGAACCTTCTGAACAGTCATTGCCTATGATGCACTATCCATCATATTCATACATAGATTGCAACTGGTTCGCATTTTAATTCTGATCACTTACGCAATGGAAGAAGATACATGAAAGTTATATTATGTAACAAGTGTTATCAACTTCATATTAGTAACGAGTGTTTAATGAACGAATTTATGAACGCGTAACATACTATACTTTTTCTACGAACTCATAATTCTTCATTCCGACAGGATCCCATAATCCCGAAAATTAGATTAACCTACATAATTCCGGAAATTAGATTAGATTAGAGTTATATTGGTTGTAGATGTGCCATAGAATACATGAATTTCTTTTAAAATGGCTTGTTAACTGATCAGTAGATAATAACTCTTCGATTTGCTTCCATATATTCAGATTGCATAAATTTGTTCACATTAATATTGTATTTTACGTTCATTATTGTCATGCTTAGCATCATTTTTACCTACAGTTATTGTAAATATGCAAGAATACTTACCTAAAACATTCGTTACCATATGGTAATGTGTTTAAGAAATTATGTTTCCATGGAAACGTGCTTAATTTTTTGAATAAATCACAGATCATCAACAATCTGTGATTAATCGATCATTTAGCGTTTTTTTATGTTCTGGTTCCCACGAGGAGGGATATCCTGTAATGTTCAGAGAACATCGTGAGAACCAAGGAAAATTAGGTATGAATTGGTGTTCTCCTTGAATTTCTGGAGGTTATATGCCTTGGGGAACACCTCCCTTGGCAATGTGTTCCAGAGCCTCGCTGTTCGTTGGATGAACGAGTCTTTGGAAAGAGATGTTCTGCAGGTCTCCAAAGTGACCACGAATGGGTGCGAAGCTTCAACTCGACGGGTTAAATCACGCGGGGACTGCCAAGGGAGGAACAATTGTTGATATTTCAGAAGAGCATCGTCCATGAAAATATCTATAAAATAGAGCCAGATCGCCAACTTTTCTACGGTGTTCTAGAGAAGTGAGTGAGTTTGTGAGCGAGGCATCACCCACGAGACGAATTACCCTTTTTTGAACAAAATCCAACAGTTTCAGGGTATGACTACCAAATATGGGAACAGTATTCCAGGACAGGTCGTATCTGTGCCTTATAGATCATAAGCAGCTGACTGGAAGTGAAATAGCTCCTGTCCCGAAACAGCAAACCAAGTTTTTGGGATGCACTTTTAGCAATTGATCTCACGTGATTTTCCCAAGAAAGGTTATTGCTGATAGTAATACTAAGCATCGAAATGGATGTCTTCAAAGGTATGGTTACTCCTGACAAGCTTATGTTGGGCACAGTGAGATCGGCTTTTTCAGAGAAAAGGCATTGGTACATGCGTGGTACATAAGTACGCTAAATGCCATTTTAGTTTTGTGAGTAGGGAAATGATATTGAAAAATAGTATAGTACATGCAGTCTCATGAAGAAGTGAGAAGACAGGCCTAAAACTTCAGATATTCTAGAGTTGGTTCTGAAAAGGTCGCATCAGGGCAGAAGGTGGGCTCCAATCCGATCTACCTTGCTATGATGGAGAAGAATGTGGTTTTGGTGAGATATCAATAATTTTCTCCTAACAATGTACGTGAATATTAATTATACTATTCGACTTTTCAACCTATCCCTATCGTTGAGAGGTCATCATAAAACACCAGTTCAGTTCTATCGTGTCGTCCAACAATTGATTTGGAAGCTTTTGGCCGTTGTTCCTGCTTTTAACTTTCGATGGTCAATGAAATAAAAATAAACGTCCGAAACGGAACTTTTTAATTGGGGCCAGTTTGTCCGCTCTGTTGGACTCAATCCACGTACTTTGTCCTTTGCATATTATGTGCGTGTTCAGTTCATTGTGGGGTGGTGATGGATGGTGTGCTGAACGCGGATTGTGCCAAAAATGAGTGAAAAACACATCAAATAACAGGATAAAATTGAATTCA